GCCTGAGCAAAGCCTGTGCCTCCCACTGCTGCTCCCAGCCTGAGCAAAGCCTGTGCCTCCCACTGCTGCTCCCAGCCTGAGCAAAGCCTGTGCCTTCCACTGCTGCTCCCAGCCTGAGCAAAGCCTGTGCCTTCTGCTGCTGCTCCCACCCTGAGCAAAGCCTGTGCCTTACACTGCTCCCAGCCTGAGCAAAGCCTGTGCCTTCCACTGCTGCTCCCAGCCTGAGCAAAGCTGTGCCTTCCACTGCTGCTTCCACACTGAGCAAAGCCTGTGCCTTCCACTGCTGCTTCCACACTGAGCAAAGCCTGTGCCTTCCACTGCTGCTCCCCTCAGGCAAGGTAGCCAAGCACCTCAGGCTTCTGCTGCAGCTGGAGAGGTGGGGCACAGCAAAAATCTCTCTCAGTCTATTTATATAACAAGATTCCTTCTTTGGATTCTTCTCTCCACAGGCCTTATTTGGTACCCAGGAGGACATGCCAGACTACCTTTTTTTTTTCTGTGGATGTTTTGCAAATGAATTCCTGGGGCTGTAGTCTGAGCTGCAAAGGGTTACTATAAAATCATATAATCATTAACATTGGAAAAGATCTCTAAGATCCCCAAGTTCAACCATCAACTGTTATATTACACTTCAAAATCCTGGAAAACAGTGAGATCTCTACATGCAAATATCAGGGGGACTTCATGGGGAGGAATTGTTCACATCTATGCTTTCTGCAGTAGCTGAAAAGAAACTGTCATTTGCACAGCATTTATATGTGAAAAGAAACACTTAGTATGCCCAAGACTGAATGGACATCTATTGAATTTAAGCAGTTAAAGAATTGTCTCCCTGGAGTGATAAAAGGAATAAAGTGAATTGACAGATACATCAGTCCATTTGTGATGTCATTGAATATTGCACTGTTGGAGTAGGCAGAGCTGTTGTTGTGGTCCTGCATGAAGGATTCTGTAGAAGAGCTCAATATCATTGTGACTGCAGAGGACCTTTCCTTGTACCCTCTCTGAATCTAACACACATTTTACTGTGGATCTGGAAAGAAATAATGAAGATACTTTATTACATTCAGAACTTGCTTCAAAGTGAATTTCAACATCTACCATAGGTACGTAAATCGTAAGGTTGGGCAAACAAAGGCAGAATAATGAGACAGTAACATTCATTGCCACTTCCATAAATGGTTCAGCTGTACAAAATGTTGAACCTGACTCTTGCTTGGTTAGAGGACACATTTTTTAACAAATCCCTTAGATTATGTTTAAATTTCAGAGCAATATGTATCTGTTTTTCTTCTAGTGAGATAAATGCATTTCTTGTTTTAGTGAGCATCCATGTGCCTAGGTAAGATGTTAAAGCATTGAGAAGATCTCAAGCTTTTCCTGTACTGTTTTTGTTAGGCTTGCTAAGACATAAACATTTAATTTCTTGTGTAAATTTGAGCTGATGTCTCCAAAAATACTGCCAATGGCTGCAATTGGATTCAAGATTTGCTAATCAGCAAAATGTTAACTCTTACAGACAGATGTATTTAAGTTAGAAATTACTTTTTGAGAAAATTTATGATGTTGGAACTGAGCTATCCTCTCAAATGACTTCAAAGAAGTAAGAATCAATTCAAGAGGAGAAGTTCTAAGCAAAAGATATTTTAATATTGTTGAATTTGCTTATAAATCTTGCTCAACTTGCATTCACTGTCAGAAAACTTCAATTGTCTTGTCTTCTTTTTTCATTGGTATGTTTGAATTATGGTCTTCCAGTTTATAAACAAGAGCATTTCATTTCTTTCAGTGGTTAAGCAGCTATAACATGTGGGAACAGCATTCTGCTACTGATTTTGCCCATCAAAAAAGAACTTCCAGGCTTCTGCAAAAGTGATTGTTCACTATATCACTGAGTCTGGTGTCTGCCATACTTCATGTCTCCAAGTACTTGCTTCTTTTCCTTGTGTTTCCAAATATAATAACCATATGGAGAATTCCAGTGGTTTATGTGACACTCACTCTCTGGAAGCTACTGTTACATGGATTATAACTATTTGTTTGAAATTGTAACTTTTTGATATTATATGGAGAATATTTGCTGATCTTTTTTCCCTACATGACAGCATGAACATATGAATGTTTAATTTCACCTTTTTTCTTCAAAAGCTCTGGTTGAAAAATGTCAACAGGTAATGTCTGTTGTCTTTCTTGACTCTCCAAAACTTTCTGACACAACTTTTAAAGTCCTTGCAGAATGTAAACCTTTGAAGGTCAGCATTGAAGGTTAGTATAATGATAAAAAAATTATTAGGATTATGTATTTTTGCAATTCATTCAGATAATTTGAAACTACTCTTTCAGCTGATTTCAGTGGGTATTTGGATCATGCTCTTAATGTATGCCAGATGTGTAACTTGCATCTTAAATATTTCAACAGGGAATAACCAAAATGCTGATTTAAGTTTCAAGCTGATGAGTAAATGCTGCCCCTACATGAGGCACATTCATGTGGCTGATTGCCAGTGGATTACAGAGGCTGGTGCTAAGATGATTTCACTATTGAAGCATATTCTTGTACTGAATATGGCAGACTGCACAAGGTACTAGATCACATCAGATTTCTGTAATTGTTGCAAAGGGATTGTTCTAAAGTTAATTTTACTTTTAATAAGTCCTGTTAACACATCCTTCAGTTTTAAAAATAAATTCTTAGAATCAAATTATAGATACCTTAATATTTTGAAAAATATTTTATACATATAGTTTTGTTCCTGTATGTTTTCAAAATTTCATTCTTTGTTTCTCCAGTTCAAGCAAAAAAAATTAACTGTTGATGTAGTGTCACTTAATAGCCATGGCATATTATAGTGCTGGAATGTGGCTATGAAGAAGAATATGATAACCAAAGACAATTTTCACAATTCCATTGTCACAATTCTCTTGAAACTTGGATATTAATTTTGTTAATATTGAAGTAATACTTTATTACTGTCTAATACTAAGAAATAAATAAAATTGACAATTTTTTACAATTATCAAGAAAACATGGTAATGAATAAAGAGAAAGAATATATTTTCTAGAAGCAAAGACAAATGGAAGGAGTTCCAAAGCTGGACATTTGATCCCTGTTTTGTGGTACAGTGTTAGAGTCAAAGGTGAGAGAGAACGGGGAAGGCAAAGTTTATAAACATTTTAAAATTAAAAGACCTATAAAATAGTACAAAGAAGTTGGAATTGCTTTTGTACCTAAAGTTTCTGACACTCTGGGTAGTTTTAGGGATTCTGCTTTAAAGTGTAACAACAGCTTTTTTTGTGCCTGTTGGCATATAAAAATCTGATAATATTGCCTGGAGGAGCAAGTGAAAAGTGCTGGAGCAGTAATACCACATTATCCTGTTGGTGGTTTAGCTGGGCAGGTGGGAGAGCTGCCTGCATTTTCTGGTTTAACATTTAGCAGGCAGGGTTTTCCAGTCTGTCAGCCAGATCATGGGCTGTGAGTGTGCTTGCACGTGTCTATTGCTTCTGCTGCTAAAGAATGGCTGGATTATCCTGACAAAATTTTTTAAGCACTAGTAAGAGTATTGTAGAAATCCACTCATTTTATTGCTTTTCCAGGCACTTTCAAATGTGTCAGCATTAGCAAAGTAACATATTTTAACACATTTAAACTCACTGGTGTGTTGACCCTGGGCTCCAGGTACCCACCAAAGCTGCTCTACCACTTCAGTGGACAGGACAAAGAAAATACAGCAGAGTTTGTGGGTCAAGGTAAGGACAGGGAGAGATCAGTCACCTGGTACTGCCACAGGCAAACCAGACTTGATCCAGATGAAGAAATTAATTTATTGCCAATCAAATCAGAGTAAGGCAATGAGAAATAAAACCAATCTTAAAACACCTTCACCCCACCCCTTCCAACTTCCTGGGCTGAGCTTCACCCTTGGATTCTCTGTCCCCTCCCCTTAGTGGCCCAGGGGGATGGGGAATGGGAATTTCAAATCTACCAAATCAGAATTCCTAAATTATAGGAAATCACTACATGTGAAAACTGAAGAAAGAAAATTAATAGATCATGATTTTTAGAATTAAGAGATGTGAATAAAAACATGTCTAAAAATGGACACAGGCAATGTAGTGGCTCATGTCCCTGGCACATAATTCCAGTTTAGGAATGATGGCATTCTTGTCCTCATGTATGATAAAGCAGTGTATGCTTGTGTTGTCACATAGTTGATCAGCTGTGTATCCAGCCCTGACTATTTAAAAAGTTATAATGTGGCCATTTCAGCTCTCAATCTCAGTGTGGTTACAGAATATTAACCTTTCAAATTCAGTTGACTTTGTTGCCAGGCTCAGCATTCTTTATGGACTGCAGCTGTATATACTGCTATTACTACACACCGCAACAATGGACTTTATCATAGTTTGCTATCCTGAAGTTGCATTTCTTAAATTTATCTGTCCTCTTGAATGAAAACCAACTGCACTGTGAAATAACACCCAAACTGTCACAGTGGCTGAATTATTGCAGGGTGACTTTGTGAATTCTAGCTTCTACTGTATTTTGTGTTCACACAATGAGGCCCTGTTCAGGTTATCAGTTCATTAGTAGCACTGGGAGTTTGAGATTTGCAGTGATTCTTTGTGCTGCAATAAACTATACAAGCCAAAATATGATTCTAACCTACAGAATTCTGGGATTAAGTTTTTATTCATCAGGGAACACAAAAGAAATTCTGGGAATGCATTGAAAAGCTAATTGTACAGTAATGTTAAACATACCAGAGATCTGAACTGTATTGAAACATCTGTAGTTTTGAAAGACCTGTAGTCAGGTCTACAAATCTCTCAATTTGGCTGAAAGCTTTTCTATCTACTTCATTTTTATAATCTCTGTGTGAAAGTTAGCTCTGTGCAAGATATGCAACTGATTAAGTGAAACACTCTGAGGAAGGACTCAGGTTAACTCTTCATGCAGGGTACAGAACTGCTATTGCACACAAATGCTGCTGGTGACTTTTGATGCTGCTGTGCTAGAAGATAATTTTTCCTTAAAGGTATTTCAGTTTCTTAAATTAAAAAAATATATTAGTACAAATGAAATGTTTAAACAGGTTCTGATTCCTTCTAGATTTGTTTCCAAGCTCTGCCATTTGGAGTGGTGATAATTTCTGAGTGCTGGAACTAATGGAAATTCTCATTATTACCAACAGACTTTTTTACAGAAAGCTCAGTTTTTCAGCCATTCCAAAGAGCAGCATCTTTCTAATTAAGCAATTAATTATTCTGACTCTTTTGGGGGTTTAAAGGTCTAGTTTAAAAATGCCATCATTAATTTTTGCTTACCTTCAATGTTGGCTGCTGAATACAAATTGCATATTGACTTGTACAGATTAGGAAAAGTAGTGATTATAAATATTGGCTGCATTTATCTTTTGGGGTCAGTGATGGAGTGTAAGTGTAAAGCATTTATTTGTACAAGGTTCTTCAGGAGTTGAGCTAAGAGAGCTGAGTGTTCGCTCCAACAGGGGCACTGCTCTCCATTGTGGTCTAGAAAACAATTGCCAATGAAAGAATTACTAACAAGGTATCTTCAATATGTCAAGCTGCTAAAACTGGAAAGAAAAAAGAGCACTGAGGGGAGTCAGGTTAAACATTGGCAGGTCCTGCCTTGTGAAAGATGTTACTTTTGGGATAAACTCTTTGAACTAAACACAGAAATCTGAGAGTCCTTGTCAAGAAAACTTTCCATAGAGAGTACTCAGTCACTGTCCAGATACAATTCTGACTAAGAACTTCATTATTTGGCTGTAACACAAAGTTGGTGCAAAAAAAATTAGAATGTGAAAAAAAAAATTATAATGCCTGTATCTTTTATGGACGCCAGAAAGTGAAAAAAACTTAAACTAAATAAAGAGGGTTAGGGAATCCAAGAAGACTTCACTTAATGTGCTCATTAAAAATATCACAAAATTATATCTGAATGAAATTTATGCTGCCTTGAATTTAGTCCCACAGTGTTACAACAAAAATGTTTTTTTCTCTTTGCTTGCCACAGCAAGCCTTTTAAAATGCTGTGTTTCTTCTTACTCTAGTTTTCACATAGCACAACCCATGACCTTGGCAACAAACCAAGCTTTTTTTGCTTACACTGTGTTGCTAAGACTTGCAGTTTTCTCTCTCCCACAAGACAAATAAATTGAGCATTTTAATTTTTGTAATTTCTAAGAGTTATAGTAGGAAAGAAACTGTGGTTTTAGCTGTTTGCTGTACTTAGGCATGTAAAATTCATGCACATATAAAATAAATACATTAAATATTAAATATGTTTCCTAGTGTTAAAACTTTACTTGATAAAAGGAAACCTATCAGTCTCCTTTATAACAAGCTACTATTTGTATACTTTGGGTTTATATTATACATTTTATTAGCATGTAGAAGAAGTCATACTGTGATCTCTGTCAGCTTAGGTTAAGTGTTGGTTTGAAATTGCAACAGAGAGCACAGTGTTTCATGTACAGTAATCAACACCCATATGCTGTGTTAAATGAAGAAAAATTGTAAAGCTCATGTGCTTTCCAGCAGGCTATGCTGTGGATCTCTCTTGCTTTTCTTGTCTTGCTGTTTAGTGTTATAAACTTAGAAGGTGCAACTTAGATTTGCACTACAAAAGAGAATTTTCCTTTCTGATTTTTCAAATGACAGCAGAATCCTTCTGCCCTTCAAAGCAGAGCAGAATTTCTTGCAGTAGGGACTGACACATACTTAAGGGAACATAGTGGAGAAAAGATACAATAGAGCCATATTTTCTGATATATTTGTGTCTCAGGTATGACTTACTTAATCAAAATGGAAGTTTTTCCCTCAGTGTTGATGCCTTTCTCTTCTGTTGCTTTTTCAAACACAGATATTAAAAGTCTTATGTTTAGAGGAGTTTATTAGACTTAACCTGAGCCTACTTCTCAACTGAAAATTGGAAACTGAATAAAAGTAATCACTGCATATGTTCAGATTTTGATATTGCATAGGAAGTTGTACATTTTGCATGAAAAAATCTGCCTAGGGAAACTTGTGAATACTAGGTATAAAAAGGGAATTAATTCATGTCATGTTTAAGTTGCATGTTGCTTAAGCATCTTGCTAAATAAGACCATTCATTAACAAAACCAAATATGCAATGAAAAGGAAGTGAACTTCAAGCATATGAGGAATTGGTGGTACAATGCAGTTTCTGTACTTTTTTCATTAGGGCTTTGACTATATTGCTCTTACTCTCAGAAAATACATAGCATTAAATTAAAACTCCACACAATTACATTTTAAATACTAATTTTTTCACTCCTTAATTTTAGCATTTATCCTTTTACATTTCAGAAAATATTTCCTTTATTCAAAATTTTTTTGAACAACACACTTTTTAAGTCTCAATAATGTTTTTTTATCGTAGAAGGACATCTGGTTTTGTCATTCTTGAAGTACTCGACATTAGTTTCTTAAAATTATAGAAAACTTTAAAGAATCTTAGAAATGAAAATATTTGAGACATTTCTTTAAAAAGATAAAGCAACAATGCAATGACAGAGCAAAGATTTTGAGTTCTTTGAAAGAAAAATAGTTTAAAATCCTTGTGAAGATTCTCCTTTTTTTAGCTATGTTTCCATCCCTCATTGTTTTGCTTCATGTTTTGCTCCTCTAAACTCCTTGCAATAGGGATTATATTGTTTTAAATTGTGAGTATGGTGAATGTGTCCTTGGATGCAGAAATAACATTACAAACATTTTAGATAAAACTCTAAAATTATTTACAATATATGCAAGGGATATGAGCTTCTAGTACAGAGACGGCAATGTCAGCACTTAGGACCAAAATCTGTCTTGGGAAAGCAGAGTCACTGGAACTGCTTCCATGGGTTAGAGAAGCAGTTCTAGTCACAAATTTTATTCTTACACTCTCCATATGTTTGTTAAAATGTCTTGATTTCTCCCCAGTGTCTACATGACAAGGTTCTGGCAGCTTTGCTCCCAGGGTGATTTTGAGAGCCTGCAGCTGCCCCTCTTCCCTCCTTCCAACACAAGCTGCTGATGCACATGGCCTGGACCACCCATATTCCTGGGACATTAGAAAAGTAATATGGTATAAAAGTATTAGGACATTTGAAGAAAAGGTCTTTAATCAAACAGGATTTAGACAGAAAAACATAGCAAGGAATAATAAAATAAGCTTACTTGACTCCTGAGTTACATAAAGCATCCAGGAACAAAACCAGCCCTGACATAGGCTGAGGCAAGCTAAATGGAGAAGCTTAATGTCAGGGGTGAGTTATATGCAGTGTAATAATGGGAAAGAAAAAAATAGCCTGAAACATAAAAAATAGGTGCAATACTTTTAAAATGGGAACAACTCTGAATCACTTCTGAAATCAAGGATAAAAGGATGTACAAAGTACACAGAGAAATATTCTCTGCTTCTCTACTTTCTTCTGCAGTGACTGTCATTTCATCAGTTGGTGGTGATTGGGATGGGGCTGTGGCTGAGCCCCATCCCCAGTGGGCACAGCTGTGAGCAGCAGGTGAGCAGCACTGACAGCAGTGAGCCATGGAGTGCCCAGGGGCCCTGACCAACACCAAAGGGAACAGAGGGCACACAGGTGTAAAGCCTGTAAGATGAGGAATAGAAAAAGGTTGAGCTAAAGAATGAGAAAAGCAGGTGCTTGAAGCCTTCTGAAAAGGTGTTGCACTGCATGGGCTGATGCTTGAAGCTTTCTGATATTGTATAGTGATGCTCTGTGTGTTGTGGCTGCCTCAACTGCAGCATGTGCTGTGACACTCTCATGCATGAAGTTTTCTGCTGTAATTATTTAAGGCCCCATTCTCTCTTCTGGATGAGTTGCTGGTGTGTGCTGTTTAAAGCTGGGCATGCTTTGCTTTGCAATCACGGGGTACTCCAGAGCAGAGGTTGTATGAATGAGTAAGCACTTAGCTCCATTTTCACTTCCTATGTGTTAATGGTCTTCAAATCCTGACTGGTCCTGAAGGCCAGGCTTCAACACGAATATTTACTAGTATTCTAATAATAAGTTTCTAAATAGGGAAAGAAAACCCTGCCCAAACAAAAATGGCATTTTGATTTTCCACAATAATCTAGAGGAATTTTTTAGCACTCTTAGCACTCTTTTAGCACTCTTAGTGGGATTCTGCATCTGCAGTGACTTGAACCCATACTCTGGCTTTGCTTTTTAGTCTGTTAGAAAATTAGGCCATTAGGACTGAGGAATAGCCTTGTAACAGTTAAGAAAAATATATCATTGGGTCTAATAGATATAACCAGCTACAGACTGCAAATTAATTGGTTGCATTTGATTTCCAAAGGAAAGGATGTGACAAATCCCACACATTCCCTAGGCAGGGAAAAGAAAAAGTTAAAGTATATTTAAGTGGGCTCCAAATTCCAACTTGTTTAGGAGACAGGAGAAAGAGAGCATTTAATCTGGAGACTCAGAAACTTAATGCTACAAAAAATAGGAAATACTAAAACAGAGTCATTGTGATCAATGCCAGATGTGCCAGCACCTGGAGTCCCAGAGCAAATCAGCTGCAATTAAAAGTACTCAGCAATGTGGAAAATCAGGCTTGATGTTGCTACAGGATATTTTGTCACAATGGAATCCCTGTCATCTGGATTGTCTCAAGAAACACTGGCAATCATAGCTTGTAAACTATGACCTGGCCTAACCACAGATGGTGTTAGGTATGGAAACTGAATTTTATGGCATGTGTTATACAGGGGGATTTCTACACTGCAAGAGAAAAATGTCCCTGCAGTTCCTGAAAACAGGTCTGGCCCACCATCATATTAGCTCAGGTATTAGAAACAATACAGCTACATTTGCTTACCCGTTTCCCAGTGGTTTTTACTACGTGAATCTCAACTTTGTCCTGACACATATGAATTTTTAATAGCAAAATGAATCTGCATGGTAGGAATTGCTTTTTTCTCTTCTAGTGTTCAGTCCAGGACACTGGTGCCTGACTGTGGCTAATCTGTGCAAAAAATCTGAGCATTTTAGAGGATAAATTAAGTAATTGAATAGTAAAAGGCTCAGGCATAGATGGTGGGAGACACCTCTTAAGAGCTGTCCAAGGCCTGGAGTCACATTGGAGTCATCTGTTTGGTTTGGAGTATGAACAGGAAGAAACATCTGTATATCTGTGGAACAAAGATACATTGCAGATGCTGACCTTGAAGGTTGCAAAGAGATATGTGGACAGAAATCTCAGAAGAAGTTGGAAATATCCTAGCACACAGTTGTTGTTAGAGAGAGACAATACATTCATTGTAGTCTGCAGCAGAAAGGCAGAGACTTTCAGCATGAGAATATAAATAATGAGGAGTTATTCCTTGCTACGTCATAGCCTCAGGTGGCTTTTGTCTCTAGCAAGTGAGGACCCTCACCAACTGGTACAGTCAATAGTCATTTTCTTACCCACAGAAACCATGGTGAAATAATAATGAATGAGTTTCTGCAAATGTCTGTAGGCCTTATGGTATAAAATAACTGAAAAAGAACAAAAATGTAAAAATTACGTGAAAAAAATAGCTGTTACAGAGGATCAAGAAGCTTTAAATTGTTTTCAAAATAGAAATGACAATATGCTATAGAAGAGATGCTGGACAAAGTCTTCCCTTTCTCCACAGCGATGGAATATGCATCCAAGATAATACAGGAGTAATTTATTGACGCTAAAGGAGAAATAGGAGAGCTTTTGGAGAGTGGATGATCTTAGTCTGTGTGTTGCCCAGTATTTGTTTTGCCAGAATCTGTTTCTAGGAGTTACAATATGATAGCTCCAATCATATTTTCCATAAATATGAGGAGATTTAGTATAGAAGATGAAATTTTTCAGAAATATGTCAATATCCTGAATGGAGATCCCTGACATTTATCAGAGAATAAATCAGGAAGTCTAATAAAAATAGTGCTAATTGATGCCTTTGTATGTATGCTAGACACAAAAATAATAGTTTAAAAATTAATATAGATTAAGCTTTCTGCATAAATATTGTTTGAAGTGGTTTCTTTTTGGAAAAATGAAACTTTCATAGTTTTATATGTAATGTCCTAATGACATTCCTTTTTTAATGAATGTCCCAATGACATTCCTTGTCATTCAAGTCTTCACTCTTTTTCTTAAATCTGTAATTGTTAACAAAATGCCTCAATGCATTGATTTTCATTTATAAAAATAGATTTTTTTGTGATTTAATGTCACTTTAGTAATATAAAATGATTATAAATTAACTTTGAACTGATAGCAGCATTAATTGTCATGTAGCAAAAAATATTTATTATATTCTTTAGTATTTCATTAGCAATTGCATTAAAGTGGTGCCACTTTTAAGTAAAGAAAAATCCAAGAACAAATTATGTCCTTGAGATCACACCTATCAGACCACGAGTCTGCTGTAAGAAATTCAAGTTCTGGCATAAAGCCATTTTAGGTTTAAGCACAAAACTATTTTATTGTCTTGAATAGGAGTACTCTGGTCCACAAAAATTTGAAATCTGTGGATTTTCACGAAGATGTTGAAAGTAGTTTTCACCAGACAACTGCGTCTGCTGAGAAAAATGCAAAGTTTTGTGTTTTCATAAGTAGCCAGGATTGGAAACTTCTTTCATTGTTCCATTTTTTGTATCTATCCAGCTTGTGAGATTTCAGGAATCTGCAAAATTTGAACTCCAGCACTCTTCCAGCATTATCATTACAGTGTCCACATCTGGGTTCCAGACACTATCTGCATGTGCCTGTTTTTTCAGGATGATACTTCTTCTCTGCCTACAATTAGGCAGTGCTGTTCACAGCCTAATTGTAGATTACTTATTAACCACATGGAATAAAGGGATAATGTTTTTTTCCAGTAAAGTTTTGTTTATTGATATGAACTACAGAGATATTCTGCTGTGATTATAAAAATGAGTTTTACAAAATCAACATTTAATTTTTCTTTAATTTAGAGCACTCAGGATCAGAACATTGCCCAGTTTCCTGGTGTAGAGGCAGTAAAAATCACCAAGTATCTTTAGATCCTTTTGCAGCCCTAATGAAAGTTCTTATTTTCTTGAATAAGGGGGCTGTTCGTACACTTTTGAGTGTGACAGCACCATTTCAAATTGTCTTGAAGTCATAAAGCCCTTAATGGTAAGGCAGTAATTTCAAGACATTTGGTCTTAGCAAGTAGTATTTTGTTCTTCCAACAAAAAACCCAAATAAACCAAACCAAACAAACAACACAACTCCTCCCCAAAAAAAATTTGCGAAAAGTTCTTCCACCCCAAATTGTGGAGATACATAAATGTGTTTTGGTGGAAGTACTTCACATCAATTACCTTTCTTCAGTTTCTTTGTTTCTTAAGAGGTAGGAAAACCAATTTTTTCCCCTTTCTCTATTAATTTTTCTGGATTTTTTTAGGGTTTGAGAGCTTTTGGATGCCATGGAAAAATATTGGAACTTTCTATATCACAATGCAAAAAAACTTCAGTGACAATGGGATTCAGGTAAAAACTTTGCTTTTTTCTTGGTGTTCCCTGGAAGCCCCCCTAGTTCATTAAATTAACCATATCCAAAATTGATCTTTTGTTCTGCATGACATTCTTCATTCTTCATAACACCATTCTACATCAAAAATTCCCCCCTTTCATTCCTACAATGCCATATGCCTGAGATCTGTTCAATTTTGGCTTGAAAAGGGTAAAGAGGGGGCAGTTTTTTGCTGTTAACTTCCATGCAGAACCTAGTGGGCAAGAAATCAACTTGGTTTGAAAATTCAGTATGAAGAGGAAATTACTGTTTACAAAATGTAAGGTTAAACTGTGAAATTCCTCATCCTTATCACAGGTTGCTTGAAGTTTGCCAAAATCCTTTTGGAGATTTGACAAACTCAATATGATTGCATAGATTTACTTTGTTTTTGTATTTTACTTTGTATTTCCAAACAGTACGAGAAAGAAACACTAGAGGGTAACGTTACAGTAGTAGAAAGAACATCTATCTTGTTAGGAATTGACATCCAAATAAGAGCACTTGTTTTTGTAACTGAGAATAATTCCTAACTATATATAACAGAAAAGCTTAAATAATAGATTTTTAATGGTATCAATTACAATTTAATGGTATCAATCAACAGTTGCAGATCATAAAGCTGCAGGTTCAGCCAATGCCATCACATAATCCCAGTCCTCAGCTTCTACATTTTTTCCATTACAAATCTTCAACATCCACCATTTTATAGCCATATATTGTAAAAATGAGTCAGTTGTTGTACCACAAGAGCTACATCTGGATTGAATCTTGTTGCTCAATGTGCATGTCAGGCCATTTGCTTCTCTAGGAATAATTCTGACTTGTCTTTCATGAATGTTCTGGGTAAAGTTCCATGTTTTTACCAATGACCAAGTATGTGCATCTTGTGTAACTCATGGAAAGTCGTGTGGTGCCAGTGCTGCTGCTCTCAGAGGAGAATATTCACTTCTGTGTTGTGCCATGCTCATGGCCAAGAAGCTATTTCAGGTGTCTCATTACACAGAAGAAATAAAAAAAAAAGATTGTTAAAAAGAAGTGTTTCTGCTTTCCCTGGGTGCCAAATGAATTTGAACTTTTTTGAGGAAAAAAGCAGCAGCAGGGAGCACATGTGGGAGTTGCAGAAGCCCTGTTTTCATGGATCTAGAGAAGGCAGGAGAAAGAAGAGGAGATACAGAGTAAGTCAAAACAAAATGACCAGTCGTTTTTGGAAATTGAATCCAAGGATACGATTTTATGGAAAATCTGCAGAGGGTAATTCCATTGTAATCCCACGGCCTGTTCCTAGGTACTATAACAGAATGTAAACACTTATGAGATCCCATATTTTGAAAACAGGATCCTTGTTCATTCATAACTCAGATGATGCTCACTTAATGAACAGCAATTTGACCTTTTCATTGATGTTTGTGTGTCCTCAGGCCTTATTTATGCAGAATTTAAATTGTGCAATTAAATTGGAAAATTATGTTTTCTTCATATGACATTTGACTTTTTATAGTGATTAAACGTCTTGCAAACATAATTTATCCTCACAACCTCATCTGTTATTTTCTCTATAGATATATAACCAGGGTTACAGAGATGAAGTGAGCAAACAGAGCTCCATCTCTTTTGATTGCAAATATAATTTGAATGTTATTTGCAAAAGCTTGTAGGGGTAGTCCTAAAGTTAAGAGTAAATTCCGAACCTAACTTTGAAGGATATTTTAAATAAGTATGTAGAAAAGCTATGCTAGTGAAAACAAGATAAACATATCTAAAAGGCATTGAAATCTTGGCTTCAGCCTGTGTTACATACCCTAGCTGAGAATGTAGCGATTAAGTCATCACATTTGAGGCCTAATTCTGAAAGGATTGCAGTTTCTCTTGCACATGGATGAAAAACATTTAGTTGCTGGGTGTAGAATGTTTCTGTATTACAGGTGAAAATCAGCCCATAAATCCAAAATTGAAATAGGAAGGGTAGAGAAGCCAATTAATAGAGATTCTGAATTTTCCACTTTAACCAATCCTAGATTCAAACACTGACACTTCCAATATTTTGTAAAATAAAACAAGGACCCAAAGCTGAGAAAAACTGCCTTGATATAGCTGTACCAGTAGGCAAAAAGAGAACGAAATCAGAGTGAAGATATAGACAAAAATCTTAAAAGTACACTCTATGAAACAAATTTCAGATCTGATAAGTTTCTTTGCATCTATTTAGGTAACACTTATGAAAATCACACAGAAATACATAATCTTTTGTCATAGTAAAAATAATATTTTCCAGGGATCAACCCTGTGTTATTGTGTGAGTTCCTATGTAACATAAGGAAAAATTAGCTGTGTGTTAGTACTGATTGCTGCAGAGGTAATTTTGTCAGAATATATATAAATATATAATATTTGTGCATAAAAATTGCATGCATTTTTGTGTTCGCTCACACATTTTATTTATCCATGTGGTGCTTAGTCTTTTTACCTCAGGACTAATTCTCGAAAGCTTTGAAAAGCTTCATGCAACCAGTGGTTTTTATTCAATCCACTATGTGTTCTTCCTTGTTCTCCCTGTAGAGGTAGAATTGCTGTTCCAGTAAATGACAAACTACTCTGGCCTTGGGCCAGGATTAGCAGGCTGGAGCCCAGCTCAGTGACACATTGAAGGCTTCTCACCAGGGTTTTAGGCTGGGCATGACAGAAGAGGAGAGATTCTGACTGAAGCTAAACCTCTGGTAGAGCTGCAGGCTGTCCTGTGATCCTTAAGTTATGGAAGAGAAGAAATGTGATTTTAGGCAACTCTTTTCAAGAGGTTTCCAGAGAAGGTTTCAGTAGACTATCTAACTTCTCTTTGTACGCCTAGAAGTGATGTTTTTCAGGCTTGGAAAAGAATCAGGCTGAAAAGTAAAAAAAGTTTCAGAGTGCAAAGGAGAAGAGTGTATTTTAAGAATCCAAGTGACCTTTCACAGGAGTTCCATTATTATTTTCCAAGACTGTCTGCTTTACAGAATACATGAAAAAGCCAGTATTTGAGTTATAAAGGTGCTGGAGTTGGAGTCATATTATCTGCAAATGTTTATTCATTCTGAAAACTAGGATAGAAATTGTAGTCAACCAATATCACAGTTAACTGGCCTGAGCTCCACAGAGCAAATCAGAGCCCAGAACTCTTGAGTGACAGTCCTGAGGTTCTTACCCATTCCCTTCCAAAAAAATTAATGTGATTTATTCAGATACAGCTTTCTGTTCATTTAAAAGAGAAGGAGTTGTTATGCACAAAACTGGGCATTTGCAGAGAGCAGTAGAATGTATTTATCTGGGCCTGGTTCTCTAAGCACAACATTTTACCTTCTGGGTTGTGCTCAATTTAAAGAACCCAAATTAAACATGGTTTAATACTTACCGTGGAACTTACATAAATGTTAGTCTAATAAACCCACAGTATAATATATAAACAATTGAAAATAGCCCCTTAATGCATTTCTTCTTTTTCTAGAAGTCAATGGCAGAATGACTTCACTTCTAATGAAAGGTACCTGGAGAACTGAAGTGTGGGAAGTGGATCAAAGGATTGGTGTACAAGCATTGTAATTGAGTTCTGCAAGGGCACAGAATTCCTGGAACACTGCCTTGTCTCTTACTGCCCTCAGCTGACAGATGAAGCTGTGAAAACAATGGCATTTCACTGCCACAGACTGACATCTCTCAACACAGGAGGCTGCCCAAAGGTGTGCACAAGAAATAGGGTGACAGTTCTGGCATTGCTATTGTAAAGAATTACTTACTATTTCATCCAGAGATTTGACCTGCTGGCATCATTCAGCTGCTTTTCTGGGAGTTTTAAGATTTGAGACTTGGCTCTTGGGAGTATTTGGTATTCTTCTAATGTTGCAGTTACAGTTTAAAGGTGTCCACATTGTATCAGGTAAAAGTTTTTCTGTCCAGGAGTTACTGTCTAAACAAGGGTGAAGAGACAAGAGCTTTCACATTATATATCACTTCCTGCAAATGCTCTCCCAGGTTCTGGTGTTTTGGGTGCCTTGGAAGGATTGTGGCTTTGTTTTAATTAATCTTGATATTTTAATGGGGGTTTTTTTCCAGTTCTTTTTCTGAACCCAGGTAAAGCATAAACTAGGGCGTTAGAACTTAATACCTGTGTCTTAACATGGCAAGGCAGTGACTACTTGGAAATAAAAGAGGTGCCTAAAAGCTGAAGCACTCAGGGTTGAAATTAAATTATTTAGATTAAGATTCATCCGTAGTGAAACTCAGTTCCTCTTTACCATGAACTTCTATTACAGCATTTTTGCTTCTTGTATTTTCTGTATAATTTCTTTTTGACTGAAGCCTGACATCCCAATTATCTTTTTGCTGCCTCTGAATGTGTGTTCCCTTTTGAAATTCTGCTGTTATTAAAGTTATATCCCTTCCTTGTACTTTCTGAATTAATGGCTGTGGCTTTTGAGCATTTAATTACTTGTGTGGTTTTAATTTTTTTAGCAAAACAAAATACTTGGTTCATTTTGAAAATAAGCATACGAACACAATTTTTTAAATGCTGATTTCATTTTTTGTTTAAATTTCATGGGAAGAGTTATAATGTTGCTTCTGTCACTATCACATGGCAATGAACAAGTTTATTACTACTTTTGGAAATGTTCATCCTGCACTATCCTTTAAAATGTTGCCACAATGAACCAGTTTTCTCATTTTTTCCCCATTGAAATGCCCATGTCCTATTTCCTTCCACAATAAGTCTGCAGCCATCACTGGTCCCTGCTTCCTCCCCACCAACACCCATCTCCACAACCCCTGACTATTCTTCCAGTCCTCCACACATCTCTTCATTCCCTGCAGTGGCTGAACATGGCTCCTGCACAACTAATTTGAGATTATTTGGCCTAAATTTAGATATTCTCTGATCAAGTTGTTTGCCTTCCAAACATACAAAATTTTCTCAGCCTCCAGGCCAAAACTCACTGGCTGTGTTTCAGATCTGAGAGACCACTCTCTATCTTAAACTATCCCTTGGTTTATATCTTACACATATTACTGTACACCATTAATTATTATTTACATGGGTCCTAATCTCCTGTGTTCTTTGGGTTTAGATAGGTATTCAGCTATTTTTCCACAATGACATGGTAATAGAAGTTGTGCAGAGGTCTTCCCAAAGCAGTTGAAGTATGTAGTGCTGCCATCAGTCCTGTCTGCCATGCTTGCCTGACACAACATACCAACACAGGAAAACAAAATAAACCAAACACCATAAAATGTCAGTAAATACATTTAGGCTGGAATCTGGGAGATTTTTTGGTTATCACAGCAGGGAATTATGAAAGAGCTTTCTGGGAAGGGAGATGGGGAAAACTGCTAAGGAATGTTAGTATGGCTCTTGGTAAGGGAATGGACTGGTCACATTTTGCAGTTCCTGCAAATGGGAAAAATGAGTCAACTCAGTGACCCAGTCATCCCCTTCCACCACTTTGTTCCTAGATGCTATCTTTTCTTTAAACACTTATAAAGCCAATCTGTTAAATGCTAATACCCTACTATTTTCAGAAGAGAACATTGAGACTCTTCCACATAAACCTACCCATAAGTTTACAAGTCTTTGTTTGACTTGAATCCAGCTTGCAGCTCCATAAAATGAGATGGGTACACCTGTGCATATTAAAGCTAATGGGTCTTACAAATCCTTTGGCAAACTCTAGTGTAAATTGAGGGTATCCAGCTGCTAAGTAAAGAAATATTTTCCACTCAGAAACTGTTTAAAAATGGTCAGGAGATGAAAGTCAGAATGAGCCTGTTCCAAAGGATATATGTTAATGTGTCCTGCAACATCAGGTATCTTATTTTTAAGAAAAAGAAATTTAAAATTAATATAGAAATATTAATATACAATATTGAAATATTAAATTAATATAGAAATATATGTACATTAAGGATATTTTGAATGTGCTATGCATATTACTCTAAAATTAGAAGAGTTTGTAACTTTAATCCTATATTCTGAGGCAAATCAATCGTCTTTCAACAAACTCCAGTGACTTCAGTGGAGGTGCTGTGAGTCTCCATGCCATGGCTCTGTATGCCTTGGGCAGGTACAAGTCATTTTTCAAATGCTGATTGTATAATACATTCAGCAGTTCTGTTCTGAGCCTTATTCAGGGAATGAGCCTGATTCAAGGGTAATCCTTATTTCACAGGAAAAAAATGAAGTTGCTGTGAGAAATATTCTACACATGAAAAAATACAGCAAGAGATGAAAATAAATCTCTGGTTAAATGAATTGGCCTTTTAAATAGCTAAGTTCTGAAGCTATAATAGAATGAACAATCAATTCTGTCATTCAGTCCTTTAAAGGGAATAGGATCCAGTGTATGACAAATGTAGATTTTTCTAAATGCATCTGATACCAGTTACTGGCTTCAGAGTCAGCAACTTTTTTAAAAATAAGAATATGAATCTCCTTAAAAATATTTTCATCCATTTATTAATCTATTGCAGATCTTAATACTAAGCATATAAATAGATCTGGAATAAGCAAAGCACATGCACATTGCTCCATATACCAGGAGGTCTGTCACAGTGTGCTAACTTTTGTTCCACAACCCAGGCTCCAGCTTTATCTTGCTGCCTTGTCTCTTATAGAGTCTCATGAGATTGGCTGTTTGGTACAAGTGAAATCCTCATCTCTCTTTCTACCACCTCACTCCAGTGATTTAATGAAATGTCTTCAACAGGTTTTTACTATTGCTCCCTCTTGATTTTTGGTCCTGAATGAACAAGGTAATTAAAGTATGTGTATAATGTATTCTTGACTGTTCCTACTGAGGTCAGTGGAGCAGTTATTAGCTTTCATGGTTGCTTATGTACCTTGAAGACTGTGTATCAGGTTTTTTTCAAATGCAGCTTCCAGCTTCCAGCATTAATGGCAATGAGTATCAGTTCCTGAAAAATGGACTTATGAGGTGAAACTAAGGACCTGTGCTTCAGAGCTAAAAAAACCAACCACAGATTAAAATATCTTGGTGTGAGACACTCATTTGTAACAGAGAACTAAGTATAAAAAGTCATACAAGTGCATCCTAATAATTTAGAGAGAGCAATTCAATAGCACAAATACTAAAGGCTGCATGCACATATATGGGTGGGAAAGTTAGACCATTCTCAGTAGGTGAAAAAACCCCACAATATTTAAAACTAGACTGCAAACACAGTTAACTAATATCTAATATTAGAAAGTGACAGTTTCTGTGGAGCCTCTTGCAGAGATTCAGAATTCTGCTGTGCCAGAAACCTTACTTCAATTTTAAAACATACTTTTTCTACCAATCAGACACTAAAGTTGCACTCTGGGAATTCTTTTTTTTTTTTTTATCTATTCAATAATCTTTTAAATTCTGCATGTTTTGTTGGTTCATTTACAGATGATTGATACACATATCCAATACTTGGCTGCAGCCTGCCATTATCTCCCCTTGGACATCTCATTCACCTTACTGACAATACCTGAGATATCTTTGGAAAGGCTGTGAGCAACTCCAGATTCTCATGACACTGTACTGTAGAAAAATTACCAAGAAAATAATTCCTAATCTTACTTCAGAGGAGGTTGTAAATCCCAAAACATGAGGTTCTTTTCTTCACTGGCATCACAGTGCCATGCTAGGTATCTGGCTTAACCGAGTCAAGCTATGGTACTGTGACCACCTTCCCAGGTTGGTTTTTACTGACCAGCCTCTAAGAACCTTCTCTTAAAGTTCAGTCTGATTCTCCCCTGACACAGCTTGTGCCTCATCACTGGTCAGCCCTTCCCCCTCAGCGTTCCCTTCTCCAGGATGAACAAGCCAAGTGACATAAACTGCTCCTTGTAGTTCTTGCGCTCAAGATATTTCACCATCTTGGTCACCTTTCTCTGGATGGTCCCTAATAGTTTAATGTCTTTCTTACATTGTGGTGCCCCAAACTGCCCCCAGCACTGGAGGTGAGGCTGCCCCAGTGCAGAGCAGAGCAGGACAGTCCCCTCCACTGCCCAGCTGGTGCTGCTGTGCCTGATGTCACCAGGAACAGGTGGCCCTCCTGGCTGCCAGGGCACTGCTGGCTCCTGTTCAACTTTCCATAGAACCAGAGTCCTAGATCCCTTTCTTCAGGGCTTTTTCTCCAGCCTTTCATCTCCCAGGGGTTATGTATAACCAAGTTTACCCCATCCCAGGTAAGAATTGAGTGTTTGCTCTTGTTTAGTTTCATGCAGCAGGCATGAGTCCAGCTCTTCAGTCTGTCCTGATCTCTCTGTAGCTCCTTTCTACCCTGCAGGGAATCTTGTTTAGTATCATTGGCACACTTTGCATTTAATTCCTGCATCCAGATCATTTATAAAAACATTACAAATTGAGCACTGGTGTCTGGCCACTAACCTGATATAACCTCATTTACTGTAACCCCTTGAGCCCAACCTGTGAGCCAGTTGCTTAACCAGGGTATTATGGACTTGCTGGACAGTTTATCCAGGATACTTTTGGAGACAGGATCAAAAGCTCTGCTAAAATCCAAACCCACCATATCTACTGGCCTACTTTGGTCAGCTAGGTGGATGACCTTGTCATAAAAGAAAATAAAGTTGGTTAAGCAGGACTTCCCCCTCTGTGAAGCTATGCTGGCTGTGCCCAGTGACTGCATTGTCTCTCAAATATTTCTCAGTTACTCTCAGAATAAGTTTCTCTATAATTTCACCAGGCACTGAAGTGAGATTGGAAGGCCTGTAATTGCTGAAGCCTTCCTTCTTTACCCTTAAAAACTGGGAGAACTAAGTTGAGTCTTGTGAGTCTCAAAAGATGTGGATTCAATTCCCACCACCCTTCCATGGGGATTAAGAGTATTACAGACCAGGCCCTGTGTACCCAGAACAGCACAGTGGCCAGACATGCTCAGGGCCTGAAACTGGAAAGGAACTGAAGTTTAGACATGGTTGATCTATCTGAATAGATAACTTAATAAAACATTATGAGAGTAAGAAATATAAAATCCCATCCTATATAGACAGTCTATACTAGGAGAGCTCTAACAGTACTTTAACAGTTCCTCTGTAAGTACTGTACTTCCTGCTGAGCCATTCCAGGGTTTAATAGCTGCTTTAGAGACCACAAGACCAATACACATACTTAATAACTCAAAAGGTATTTCCAGTGTGCTTCACACTTTCCAAATCCTCCTCTACTATTTCCCTGTCTTACCACAAACAATTCTGCTGTCACGGGTCTTATTTTCTTCACTTCTCTCAGATGTAGTTTTCTCAATGTCATCTCAGAACTCTCTCCTTAAAATCTCTACTTCTAATTAAACACTTGTTAGATACAGAAAGTGCTTTGAAGGATTGGTAGGCAACAGTAGTAATTCAAAAAAAACCAACTCAGATTCATTTAATCTCTTCATAATTTTATGATTTACAGTTTTTCTCATCTTAAGCCTCAAGGGTTTTTCTTTTATCCTCAGATTACTGTTGTTGACTTGTTTATTCTGTGACTTCATATCTCTGTTTAGAGCAGCAACAGTGTCAGCCCTTTCTGATTCTGCCTGCTGATCCATCCTCCTGTAGAAGTGAGATGAAATGGGAACAGAAACTTGTGCAAATTCCAAGTTGTGCTGGGTGAGCCATCACCAAGGAGCTGACATGACTTCTCAGAAACCCATTTGCATTATTCTGACCTGGGATGAACCCAAGATTTTGCCTCTGCCTGAGTCCCATGTGCAATGGGTTCTCCAAAGGTCTTGATTAAACTCTTCTGACCCAGCCAAGGAATTTCCCAACCAGTTATTTTTACTCTGAAGATAACCCTGGAGAGTTACACATCTTTGCAAAACAAAAAGGCAACCATGAGACACGTCTCCACCCAGTGTTATCTTTGCCCTTTTTGTGATGTTCAGAATTAGGTAAACTTTGCCAACTTTATTTTCTTGAGTCTCCTTTTCTGGACAGTGGATGGTTTTTTTCCTTGCCAGCCTCAGTCTCTAACCCTTCACACCACATATTCAGTGATAGGAAACTCCTGTCCTGCACCATCTGAGTCTGGGACAACACCTGCTAGGTGGACTGATATGCAGAATAATGCAGTCCCAAGCATTTTTAACTTGTTCTTTCCAACAAGTCCAAAGAAATCCCACTCTAGACTTTGCCAGGCCACAGAATATACTGGGAATGACATTCAGAAGATAAAAGTGAGTTCACAGTGAGATTCTGATATGTTCCACATCCTGCACGTTTCCCAGTTTAGGAAAATCTTTTTTTTTTTTAATTGCAGTTCAAGGTCAATATGGCAATGATGATAAAAATTTTATCTTCTGCCAATAACTACATCAAAAGCACAGTAAAATATGGCATGATTCTAGAGTTAGTTATCTTGCAGTAGCTTTTCAGCAACATCAACGGCAATGACAGTATTGTCACTGTCACATATTTCTATAAAACTATGTGTTTCTTTCACAACCTGTATGTTTTTAGTAATGAATGACAAGCAACAGATTGTCAAAAAAACGAAATCAAGCCTTAATTCTCCATTTTCAGCTAACTCTTAAAACCATATTCAGCTTCTTAGATTTTCACAGAAGGTAAAGGCTGGTTTCAAGTGTAAGTTATGTTCAGAGGGTGTGAAACTGACATTGTAGAGAAATTTCATTCTCTGTTTAAGGAGATGGAAGAGGTCGTATGTAAAAATTACATTCATCTGGAGAATTAAACATGCTAGTGGCTTAGGTTCTAAATAAGCAATAGAAGAAATATGATTTTAGTTTAAAGTTGCCTTAAAATATCTGTGGCATAAAATACTACTTCATTGTTCCAAAGGAATTCCCCATTATTTATTGTTAAACACTAACCAGTCCTAGCAGACATTTCTTAATAGACTAAACCTTGCAAGTATTGACTCATATCTCTTGTATTGTGCACATTGTTTTTCTTTTTTTATTTTTACTGTTTTGATAGATTAAAATAGAAAACATGTGGAGCCACAAAGTTCTCCAAGTTTCAGTCCAAAGCAGCTTCATAGGAAACAGTTATGGGCCTTCAATTGATCATTCTTTCCAGAAAAGGGTAGATTTTGAGATTACATTTGCCAACATACTGCCCTGCTTCCAGGTTTAATAAATGTTAGAAGGAAGAAAAGGTTTGTGGCCTGGTATCCTGCTGCATATTTCTGTATCCAGAGGCTAATGGCCTTTCAGTTAATCCAGTTTCTAAATGGCAGAAAGAATCATGGATAATCTAATGTGGAAGTACATGGTGCTGGTACAATTGATTTCTTCTGCTAAAGGAAAAACAACCTAACTCTCTGCTTTCTAAAATGTAGGAAAAGGTGGTGTCAGCTTGATTTGCTTAAGACTACTCCTTAAGACTACAGGAAATAACATACTGGCATCTTTAGAGAAACACTTCTGTTCCCTGTAAAACGTTCTGTGTTAACATTTCTAGATGCAAAATGAGAAAGGAAACACGTCATTGACAGAGAAGCCAGCTAGGCTTGTAATTTCCCCAAACTACATCTCATCTGTAACAGTTTGGTTCCCTAAAAAGATCTCCTTAAATTACTCCTTAAAAATTAGGTGCTTCCTTCTTTCTTGTCTGCACTAACATAAAACTGGTTACATTTCTCCTAAACTCATGACTACATTATTAACAAACTCATCAACAAGTCCTCTTACAATTTTTGCCTTTTAAACAAAAATTACATTAGGTCTTAATAGTTACAATACATTTAACATTTGGAGAAGACTTTCATTTTTGTTTGGTTTTGTTGTTGTGTTTCCTAATGGCTGCTGTTGATTAGAAAGGACATTGCAAGAACTCACAGAATTTCTTAGGTTTTATCCAAATATGCAAACAAACATGGAACTGGAAATGAAGACCTCCTATACACAATTTGGTAAAAGACCAACAGCAATTATTCCTAAGTCTTCTGTTAAACAAGAAACAGAAATACAGTACTGTCTTCACACTGACTGTAATTCTCTCTTTGGAAGTGACACAGAGGCTCCTGGAGTGCCATGTTTCAGCCACTGAATGCATATGAACTGGATGCCATAAAATGATAAAACTACTGGACCTCAGAATACTTCAGGTCCTATGTACTCTTATCACATTTTGTAACCTGGAGCATGCCTGCAGAATGCTTCCTGCTTTTCCCATTAGCTCCCTGCCTCCACTTGCTTAATTTCTCCTGTATTGGCACTATAAACATTTCTCCCATGTTTGAGATTTTATTTTCTATTACTTTTTACTGATGATTGGTTTCTGTAGCCTTAGCTCAAGAAGTGTTTTTTCAAAATCTCTGCTTTTTATTATGATGGACCCAGTCAAACAGGAACAGGGTCCCCAGGGCAGTGGTCACAGCCCCAGCCTGACAGAGTCCAAGTGTTTGGACAATGCTCTCAGGCACATGGGGTGACTCCTGGGAATGGTGCTGTGCAGGGCTGGGAGTTGGACTTGATGATCCTGGTTGGCTCCTTCCAACTCAGCACATTCTGCGATTCTGAAAAATTGCTGAAATGTGGAATGGCTCAGGATTCAGACCATGTTGCAGAACTATATTTCCCAGTTACCCCCTTCAGTAAAATGGATTCAAACTTTGGGTAAGGATTCAATTAGGTATTCCAGTGCTGCTCAAGCCCTATGTTTGAGCCAGTTCTTTTGTCTGACTTATACCAAGAGACAGCTGTTTTGCCAAAGAAAACGGTAATTATTGGCTGAAATACTTTTATTCATCAATTGGCTCATTTAAGACAGTAAATAAATAAATAAATAAATAAATAAAATAATCAGGCTCTGTCATAGTACAGTATATCTTAAATAAACAATCTTTTTACCATGTGTTGGTGATTAATGAATGGCTGTTTCTGGCAAACCACTCAACTGTAGCTCCAGGCATGGGACATCATAACTTTCCAAAAAAGTAGTAACAGCTCCCCTTATACATGCTTCAGACAGCCACTATACATTGCAGTTTCCATGAAAAACAGGAATTTGGACTTGGATGAGTTGATTTTTTATAGGTCAGAGCTTATAGCTTATATAAATTGTGCACACATTCCTCAATGGCACAGGCCTCCCTAATATAAAAACAGATGCAGCCTTGTGTTCATGTGGTTCATAGAGTGTGTCAGTGTTGGACATTTTATAAAAAAAATATCCTGCAGTGGTTGCAAACAAACCCTTCTTGCTTCACTAATTCTGTCCCTTTTCCACTCCTGCCCACTTCCCTTTCCTGCTGTAGTGGTGCAGGCATCACAGCTGGGCACATCTGCCCCTTGTAACCACCTCTGGCATTTCCACTTTGGGAACCAAACACAAAAACACTGTAGCAGCATTACTGACAGATCACAGAGCACTTCAATTTGGATTTTTTTCCAGTATTGTCTGGATGCTGTATATTTTTCCAGAACTTGGGAGTTGGCCAGCAGGGAGAAAGACTGCTTTGCTGTGGCTGTGCCACACCAGCTCAGGCTGAATCTCCTGGAGGGGATGGAGCTGCAGAGCTGGCTCTTCCCCAGGAGCCCTGGAATATTCAGCACAGTGGGAGGCTGGGCAGGAGGGTGCTCTGCTCAGCAGGACCAGGCTGGCAGCCAGCTCACACAAGGCATGGAAAGAAAGAGACATTCACAGCACTGCAAGTGGTGGGTTCTGTTTCTTCAGCTTGGGAAGGCCCTGAAAATTGCTGGATTGACACTGCCAAAAAAGAAGGGAGAGGTGCTCTTCTTTTGAGTGTCTCACTCAGGAGGCCTGATTTTCTCAAATTTTGATCTAGTTTATTAGTTTTGTGTTCTAATTCTGCAAAAGAGCAGTGGCCACAAAATGTTGAAGCGGATCTGAGGGGTCATGGGTAGGTTTGGGCATCACAGACAACTCTCTTCTGGTTCAGCTCTCACAGAAGCTGCAAAACAGAACAGCCTTGGGGCAGGTCCAGAGCCAGCAAATGCAGGTAACCACAAGGCTCCTGTAGCACTGCCTGCTGTGTACTCAATTCTATTTCTGAAACAATACATGCTAAAGGAGGTGGGTGACAGAAGATACCTACAGTAGAGAGGCTGCCCAAAATCAAGCAGAAGGTGAATGAGGAAAGGGTAAAATACTTGGAGGTGCTGCAGACACTGGTTCATATAGAAAAACAGAGGGACCTGCACAGTTACTACAGCCTTCCTATAGAGCCATGAGAAAACAGCTTGGAGATGCTGTAATACCCTCAGGTGTAACTGGTTTATTTGTCTTGTTTGGTTTTATATTTTCTTCCAAAGAGTGTTATTATTCCAGTGGCATCACTCTGACATCACTCAGATCTGTGTTCAGGCAGATGCTGACACACTAGAGCAAGTGTGGATGAACCCATCAAGACCACTGAAGTGCTGGAGCATGTAACCTGTGAAGAACCTTCAGAGAATTGCTTTGCTACATCCCAGGAGAAGACTCAAGATGGAGGAGACCTTATTGCTGTCTCTAACTCTCATCAGAGCACAGAGAAGACAGAGCCAGACCAGTGTCAAAGGTGCACTGATAGGACAAATGGCATATGGAAAATTCTGATTACATTCTGATTACAAGGAAACTTTAACTTTTTAACCAGGAAGCTGGCCAAACTCTTGAAGAGGATCCCAAAGTCTGTGCAACCTTCACCCCCAAAGGTATTCAGACCTCATCTGGCAAAGCCATGACTCACCTGGTCTAGCTGGATACACTTAAAGCAACAGCAGGTTAAAACACTCTCCAGAGGCCTCTTCCAACATAATTCATTCTGTGACTCTGTGACCTAACCAATTATCTTCTGGTTTACTTTCCTCAACACCCTTATAATATTGATAGTTTTAGCTAAAGCAAGGAACTTCTCATTAAACTGCTTTTAATGTTCTTTGTAAAAACAACCTCTGAAAAATTTTGTCATTATTAAACTTTTGTTGAAGACAAGCTACTTTGAAATACACAGCTGAACTGGAGAAACAGGAACACAATGATGCTGACCATCCTTCCTGGCTCAGATATGACTGGGATGATAACATAATCACCTTCACCAAAACATGCAGATCAGAGCCTGAAAAAACAAATTCTTCAAAATGAAAAATGAAGAAATTGTGCAGCATCTCTACAGTTTAAGGGTTTTTCTCTAGAGCATGAAAAGACCACTGTGTTATTTTTTCTTAAAACTAATCATACTTTAATAAAAGGCCATTTGTTGCATTAGTAAGGAAGCATAGCAAATCTTTCTCACAGGAGTATGAATGCCTTCAAGCAAGACAGCTGCACTCAGACAGCACTGCTAACTCTCAGATGTTGATTCAAGCTGTCTTCATCTTTCAATAATGAAAGTTTTTGTAGTCCCGTGCAGAGTAAGCAAGGAATAAATCTGCATGTGTTGGAGGATTTGTTTGCCATGAAGGTCCTCTCCAGGACATAAGCACTCTGACTCCCCAGAGAACTTCACACTTGGTGTGGTTGGTACCCATCAAGTGCAGCCTTCTTGAGGAGTGGAAGCAGTGAGTAGGCAGTGATTCTTTAATACCCATGCATTTAGGCACAGCTCTCCACTTCTCAACAGTCACTTGTGCACCCACAGCCCTCATTCTCATAAAAGCCTCTTGGGCTGAGTCCAGCTCTCTAAACAACCTCATGTTTGTGTCTGCAGGTCTGAACTGTAGGCTGGCTGGCAGCTGAGAGAGCAGGAGAACCAAATTAAAGGGAGCACAGATGAAAAAAGTGTTAGAGTATAAATTTGCTCCACTTACAAGAATGTCTTCTCATCAAATGGATAAAAAAAGATATATGGGCTCACAAGGGATTTGCCATTCAAACTCTAATTGCTGATAACCTACTAATCTTCCCTTGTCTAGAGATAAATACAGTTTCACCTTATTAGAGCAGAACAAGACATTGTTCAATGCCTTTGGGGAAACTCATAAGGAAGGATTTGTCCTCCTTCAACTCATTCTTGACCTTTATATTAACATTCTAGCTAGTCTCAACATGTTTTAGCTTGGAATGAATATAATCAGTAGCTTTAGCGGTAGCACAGTTTTTCTGCTGGCTGATTTAAACTTCTTTAAGCAAGTAACTAACAAGTCTGATGTTTAATTCCTGCTAAATTTAGAAAATCTATGAATTCAAAGTCTGAGTTTGCTTTCTTTTGAAAATGGAATAAATAACATGTTTTCTTACTATGTTCTCCCTTAAATGGCTGATGCAGCAGTCTCAAAAACCACAACCTTAATCTCAGAGGCTGACAGGCTTTGTATTTCAGGTGAATAATGGGACCATTAAACGGATTCAATCTTTTGAAATACCTACTAGACTGTTTTCATGTGGTGTGAATTTTGAGGTGCTTTTTTCACTTTGGCTGCAGCAGGACATAGAAAACATTAGTTTCAAATATTTTTCTGGGTATCAAAAACCATTATAATTTATTAATTTTGTAACTTTAAAAAGTATAATAATAACTCATATCTAGTAATATTGTAATGCCTTTAGTAATACTATTAGAAATGTTTTATATATTACTGTTTATATTAAAAATACATATAATTTGTCATATGCATTAGTGCCCACCTCATCCCAACAAGCAGTACACACAACAATAAACAGGAAGGGGAGTTTTTAACCACCCTGAATTATAGTAGGTATGCTTCCCTTGACTCTTGAAGTCCATTAGCCAGAGGCAATTATATCTCCTGGGGAATCCTGTGGCAAAAGAAGTTAATTTCATAATGTTCCATTATGACCCAAGGAACATACACATATTTACAAAACTTAAAGCCTGAGCTGGCACTCTGAATTCTCTCTTGCTCCTCACCATCCCCTGAGCTGGCAGGGATTCTGACATTTCAGCTCAAAACACAAATTTCACTACTGCTTTTATAAGGTGCCATAGAGATGCATGGAAAGGCTTTTAAAAGCCCCATTTACTTTACTGTGTGCTTGTTTTACAGAAACACAGAACCCTCCACAAAAATCAGACCTGCCCTTGTGCAGGTTCACAGCTCCCCTCACCTCCCTCTCTGCCTCCCAGGAGCTCTGCAGGACAGGGCCCTCCCTCACTGCAGAGAGAGCAAACAGTGAGATTCCAGCTCTCAGGCACAAAGGCAACATTTCCCTCCCAGGGCAGCTTCTCCTTAGGGGAATGTTCAGGTGGACTCTCCCCTAAGCCCAGTTGGAGGAGTGCTCCTCCTTGAAATCAGGCAGATCCATGGTACTTTTGTTTATTTAAAAGCTTTTCTTTGCAGGTGAGCAGTGGTAGACAGAGCTGGAGTTCTTCCTTCTATCCACAAACCAGAGGTTCAGGATGACACAGAGCAAGTTCTGCCATTTCACAGAAGTATTTTTACACAGAGAGTACCCATCAGCCAGGCAGAAACTGCTCAGGGTTCAAACACCAAATGAGAAGACCACATAAGAACCACACTGAAAGTGATTTTTTCCTGTCCATGATACAATTTGGTTGAAGAAAATTCTCTGCATTTTGCATAAACCAGCAGAATTTCCACAGTATTGGGACATTTAATTTAAAAGTACAACAGAGCTTGCAAAGCATGGCATCTTGGAAGTGTTGAAAATGCTTTTTTACATTTTTAAAAAACAACAAACTTCTGTTTGAGAGCTATCAGCTTTTAAACTGATAGGGTAAGTGGGTCAAATTATATGAATTCTGAATATATAAGATCATCCTGTTCCTAAAAGGCACTAAAAGTAAACCAGACTGTTTAGCACCAGCACTGTCACAGGCAAATCTTGGGTTAAAATTCTCTCATTTTTAATAGTTTCTCTTTTATATTAAGAATATTCATCCAAAACTTTTCATAATTTTACAGAAATTTTGTAGTTTCTTGATTTAATCTCTTTGGCCTATTTCACCTTTAAGAACTCTTCAGCTTGACAGACTGGATCCAGCTTTGGCTTTTAAGACACACTTTGCCATTTTGTGTGTCAGCCTTAATCCATTTGTCTGTTTCATCCCTTTGATTCATGTGACCTGGAAAAGAGAATTGTCTTAGTTTAATTTGACACACAGTAAACATATCATCTTCACATTGTCATTTTTTTACAAGCTCCCTGGAAGCACTTAGAGCACTTTTATTTGGTAGAATTTGTGTACTTTTAGCAGAAGCATTTCCTTCTTGATACATTTTTTTTAACATTAACCTACTTTCCCATAATACATCTTTACAATAGAGTAAAGATGGTTTTATTATATAGTACTGCACTTTTTTATTCTAAGCTAAGAAATGTGTTATGGTGGGTTGACCCTGCTTGGATGTCAGGTCCCTACCAAAGCCACTCAACCGTTCTTCTCAAATGAACAGGCCAGAGAAAATGTAACAAGAAGCTCATGGATCAAGATAAGGACAGGGAGAGTTCAATCAGCAGTTACTGTCACAGGGAAAACAGACTTGACATGGGGAAAAATTAATTTTATTTATTCCAAATCAGCTCAGAGAAGGGTAATAAAAAATAAAGTCAAATCTTAAAAACATATCCCACTCACCCCTCCCTTTTTTCCAGGCTTAATTGCATTGCTGATTTCTCTACTTCCTCCCCACCAGAGGCACAGAGGGATGGAGAATGGGGGTTTTGGTCAGGTCACACATCCTCTCTGCCACTCCTTCCTCTGCAGAAAGAGAGCTCCTGATGCTCTGCCCCTGCTCTGCCATGGAGCCCTCCCCAAGCTGCAGGTGGATCTCTGCACCCCTGCAGACCCCAGGGGCTGCAGCAGGGGAATCTCTGCTCTGGCAGCTGGAGCACCCCCTGCCCCTGCTTCTGCTCTGGCCTCCACATCAGCAGGGCTGTTTCTCTCACATATTTCACTCCTTTCTCCAGCTGCTGTAGGGTTTTTCCTCTTTAACTCCTCTTATTCATCATCACTGATGGGTTCAGGCCTGGCCAGTGGTGGATCCATCCTGGAGCAGGCTGGTGCTGGCTCTGTAGGGCACTGGGGAAGCTTCTGGCAGCTTCTCACAGAAGCCACCCCTAGAGCCCTCCCAGCAACCTTGCCACACAGACCGTACATGTGCTGCTTTTCTCTGGGATAGGGTTATTTTTTTAATAGCAGCTGAGATTAACCATGTTTTAGATTTCTGCTGAAAACAGTGTTGACAATATATAAAATTTCTTATTTCTGAGTGGCCCTTTCAGAGCATCAAAACCTTTTCTTCTTCTAATATTGCCCTGCCAGTGAGGAGGCTGGGGGTGCACCATAAGCTGGGAGGGGACAGAGCCAGGACAGCTGACCCCAAATGACCAAAGGGACATTCTGAACTGCATGGTGGCACGTTCTGTATCACAGCTGGCAGGAGGAGGAGCAGGGGACACTCAGTGATGGCCTTTGTCTGACCCAGTACATGAGACACAGTCCTGCTTTCCTGGGGATGGCTGAACACGTGCTTGCCCTGGGAAGCAGTGAAAGAATTCCTCATTTTGCTTGGCTTGTGTTCACTGCTTTTGCTTTATCCATCAAACTGTCTTAATCTCAAAATCTCTCTCTATCCCAACCATGACTTTTCTCACTTTTACTTTTCTGCTTTTCTCCCCCATCCCACTGTGGGGAGTGAGTGGCAGCCTGGTGCTCAATAGCCAGTTCTGGTTAAACCATGGCTCTACATGAGATACTGATCTGGCTAAGTAATTTCAAAGATTTTAAGAGCCATGGTAAGACCTGATTGTCCAGATGCCTGGACATTTTGCAAGTATTACTGTTTCTTTATGATAATGGCCTAAAAAAACCCCTGAGGTATCTGTCTTACAGGTTTCACATAAACTGTACTCACAGGCATGCTCTGAAAAGCTCACTAACAAAGAAGAGAGTTCAACTCAGTGTCATTTTATAATCAAAAACCTGAGAGCCAGACAGAATAAATGATCTTCCAAATTTATACAAAAGATTTGTGTCCATATTGGGAATTAAACTGTGATCTTAAAAGTACCAAATCAGTGCCTTTATCACAAGATCAACCTTCACTTTGGTTTATCTTTACAAAATATCATTTATTATTACTTTGGTGTTCATTTAATTGTGTGAATTCTAAGTTGAGAATAATTTGAGCCTGTAATAGCAAGAGGGATGGCAGGGAAGCAGATTCTGAGCCAATTTTGCAAACATGCTCTGCTCTGACCTGTAACACAGCTGAAATTAAATTCTGGCCACAGCAAAAACAGTGGCAAAACTCCAAGTGACATCACTGCACTGGTTTCCACAACTCAGGCCTGTGTGCCAGAACTTTTCAATAGCATTTCAGAGCTTTAGCAGCTCTAAGAGGGATTCATTTGAGTTTATGGGCCAAAACCACAGCAATTCACAACAGGCTGAGGTGTGGTTTGGAAGTACAGAGTTCTCAGAAGAGTCCAACAATGCCAGAGTCACTTGAGTGTCCCTTGTTATCAGACTACAACATGCCTTCAGGTGTCTCCATGGGGATGTCTCAATACAATTTCTGCACTCCTCATTGCTCCAGACAGCAGCAGTCTCAAGCACACTCAGTGTCAGTGTCATTCCTACAGTAAAGCAGAACCCACAGACCTCTACTCATCATCTAACTGCAGACTGAAATCTGTGATGAATCACCAAGTTGGACAAATGTGTTGTATATGGAATCCATTAAAATCTGAAAGTTCAGTTCCTCAAAGCTTTCCTGAAACACTGATTTTCAATAGTATTGTATCAGAGAGTACAGAACAAAAACTAAAACAGAATCTTTTAAGCATAGATAGCACTTGAAACATTTCATCAGTCTGTTTTTTAAGGAAACAGCCTCCAGGTGACAAGAAATCAAACCAACAAAGAAGTATAAAGGAAAATTTCAGCTGATCCTTTAACAGAGATGTAGAACACTGAAATACAGCTTTTTCTCCTAGGGAGAAATAAATGCAGGGCAGAGATATTTCCAGAAAGTGCATATTGGAGTGCTTGGTCCCAGCTCCTCTCTCTCATGTTTTTGTGACTATGGCTTGTACTCCTGTACAAGAAACAAACACTGAAACACAGAATCAGTGCTGTAACTGGTTTCATGCACTGCTTACACCTTGGCAAGAAAGTTAAAGCAGAGTTTAGGGAACACAGGAACAAATTTACAAGAGCCATTTTAAAGCTGAGTTTCTGTATGAGCTCTGTTTCTCATTTTGGTTTTGCCATGTGAATGTAGAAAAAAGTTTTGTTCCTTATACTCCTGGAAATTTGCCTGTGAGGCAAATATTAAGGCTATTAAGCCCATCACTAGTAGGAGGTTCAAAGTTATTTCCTAGATTTGAATTAATTTATGTATGAGGCACTAATCAAGCAACAAGGTTTAGCTGGACCTTTTGATGACTGCTTGGGTCTTAACTGTACTCACTGCTTGTACTCTGGATACCATGAGAACATGAGTGGATTTTGAGGAATACTTTATTAGCTTGATTAAATCACAAAAGCAAACAGCCTCCTGAACTGAGAATGATGGGGGGGAATTAATTACAAAACCTACCAGGCACGACAGCAGCATGAGTTCAGGGGAAGAGAGATACACTATTATGCTGTGTATACCTTTCAATTTAAAGCCCAGGAAATAGGTTGTGGTGTTTAAAGGAATGTAACACCTTGGCAAAACTTCAGAGTCAAGCACTGACTGTTTATTTACTTGTCTTCCTGGAGATTGGAGAAGTTGAGAGCTCTATTTTCATATCACAAAACACAAGAAAAGGATCATATTTTAAGTGTTGTTCATTGGTAGTGTTAGGACTGTGGTATACATCAAAAGGTTGTGAACAGCTTGAGTTGAATGCAAGCTGAAACCAATAAAAATCTGTAGGATAGCATCTCATCTAATGTGTTTAATAAAAGTTGGATGAACTTTCTATTTGACTTGAAGGAATGTAATCTTTTCCAGATACAACCTGGGTCTTTGTTTATTTTTTTTAAGATATTGCTTAAGGATCAAGGCTTCACAGAGGGCAGTGTGTAGAGGGACATTATAAAACAAAGCTCTTCCCACTCAATTTTAGTGGCCAAGAGTCAATAAAAACTGCTTCTAAGAAAGAAGGAAAGTTCTGAAGTGCCTTGAGAACAGACTAAACAGGGGGGGCATGACAGCACATAGTGTTACTCCTGGGACTGAACTGCAATGCTGACTGCAACAAACCCAAGACAGCTGCACAGTGGGAGCACTTGTGCAGCTGGTAAGCTTCAGATAAAACCTGAAGTTTCAGCAGACTGACATAATACAAGCTCTTTCACTTATTTCCCTTTTAAAGGCAAGTTGCTTGTCTCATGTTATTCACTGCCCCTTCAGCTGTGTTTGTATTCAACCCTTGAACTCCAGACAGTTAAAACACAGACATTACCTTGGAGTAAGCAATACAGAATTTCTCATCATGAACACTCTTATCCCCATCCATCCATAAAGCTTTGAGCAGGGTACAAGAGACTGATGCAGTCAGTCCCCTCTGGCACCCTGGCCTTAAAGCGATCCTAAAGGAAGGCCACAGCATTCCATAGGCTGCTCTCCCAGCACTCCTGTGTGAGGGACCACTGAGGGAACAGTGAGAAGTAATTTTCCTGATGGCAGGAAACATCTGGCTAGATCCTCTTTGCTCCAGCAGGGAACATCAGGCAGATGTGAAAGCTGTAATAATTCAGTGCATGCCTGAGAGAATTATTGTTGTAAGGAGAAAGGCGCTTCTCACCACAACCTATGGGGAGAACCAGGCAGGACGAGAAGACCTGAAGCATGTAAGTAAGAGAAACCTGAAACATCAGAGATAGGACAGAAGTGTCAATGTCCATCTTTTCAAAGGAATCTGGTAATTACAGACAGGCTGACTCTCCAGAGGCACAGGAAGAGGAAGGCCAGCTAAGAAGTTCTGCAGTATTAAAAGAATAACTGGATACTCAATCAACCCAGAAGGTAGAGGCAATGTGAAAATTTTCACAGGGGAAAAGGAGTTACAGGAGTCAATGGGGGATTTCCTCTGCATGAGTTCTATACACATCTGAGGGAAGGCATAAATTAACATAGGAGATTTCTATTACCTGCATGGCCACCAGGAGCATGGCTAAGAGAACACTGCTCTCAGGTGGCTCAGCAAAGCTCTTGTGCTGCAGCCAGGATGGGATTAGTATCAAAACCTAGAAGTCCTGTTAACTGCTGCAATTGTTGTCATGCTGACAACAACTGGGAGCAAGCATGTCTCCACTTGGGAAAACCAAAACTCCCAAAGCATATGCTCTTTGTATAAGGACAAAAAACCACAGAACCAGCTGAGAAGATAAAAACAGCGAGACACAGTAACAACAAATATCCACAGCCTCTGAGGAGCACCTGGGACATGGTGGGACATTTACCATGGAAACTCACAGAGCTGCTGCAAACCAGATGAATTGCCTGCAAAGTTAAAAGATTCCTCAGCACCAAGCAGATGGCATCAGGTGAAAGGTTGCCACTGGATATGAACCTGGCACTAGAACTGGGGCAGGGATGGAGAAACATCCAAAATCAGGTGAATCCCTGACATCACTCAGAGATGAGATTTACATGGTTTATTTTCCAGACAATTAGGTTTGGAAATTGACACCATTTGCTACAAGGATTCAAATAGAGTCCCTGAAGGACTGCAAGACTTTTTCCAGCAAGTTCACAGTGGTCAACACACAAGTTGGCAACCAAAGTGGCTGAAGTGTGTCCAATGGCTGCATTTCATTCAGTCCCCATCCACCCACATGCCTGATAACCTTCCTTTGTTACTGTGGGGTGGGTGGGAGCAGATGGTCACATCAACCTGAGACAAGAGACACCAGGGCTGAAGCCTTTCCTGAGCACTGAATTTAGTCTGAGATGCTCACCTGGTCTTCACAACCTGCAGCACTGACAGTCCTACTGCCCCCCAGACAAGTGCTACAAGCAAGTTTATCTTGCTATTTAGTTAAGTTTCCTTTATATAAGGTCAAGTTATAACTTCTAGTCCTACTGCCAGTTGACAAAACAATTTATCTCTATTTCTCTGTAGCAACTTCTTACATACTAGAAGAATGCATCTCCCCTTCCCTTTGTTTTCTCTTTTGAGACAAAACCAGAACTTTTCATTCTCTTGTTAATCATGATTTCAGGACTCTGATCACATGTTCTCCTTGAGAGACTCTACAGTTTCAAAGCACAGTACTCAAAACTGGACACATTCCAGCTAAGTATTACTAATGCCATGTAAAGCCAAAGGATTATTTTGAGTTTTACAGAACAATCATGTTAACATGCTGTTTGTTTTCAATGGTGTAACACTATTGTTTCCTGATATTATTTAAATATTGCTCCTCTCAGGACTACACAGGTAATTGCTTCTACCTTTGTACTTAGAACTTAACTTATTGGAAAGTGGCCTAAAAAGCATATAAATCAAAATTATATGAACTTTAACCTTGACTTTCAGCATGTTTCAAGTCTGTTGACATAACAGTCTTCTAAGTTAATTTTCTGTTTAAATATTTAACACTTTTTAGCCTCTTATTCTTTCTCTTACCACATGTAGTACCTACAGCTAATTACCTCCACAGGCATAAGATTTAAGAACACACGCACACCTGGAGACAGGGAGCAGGCAGACATTGAGCAGGAAGGGCTTCTCTTCTTGCCAGGGCAAAGAAAGAACACCTTGACATGATTATAATCAGAAATTACTGGAATTACTCAAGCACTCTAAAGGCAGCCAAACACTTCCACTGATGGAAGCTGGACCAGTGCTGAGCATCAACTCTGTTTTTGTGACATTTCATTATAGCATACATACTGCTTCCAAGACTGCCAATGGAAACAGATGTATTTGCCCTTGCAAATTACTTCAAAGAATGAAAACTCCCTGTCACTGCTCTCCAGTTCCCTCCCTTTCTCAGCAAGTGTCTCCATTTTGCAGGAAAGTCCCTTCTTTTCCTAAAAGAGCAAACCCATTTTCCCACTCCCATCCTCTGTCTCTGGAGCACTCACTGCAGACTTCCATCATCCTGCTTTCACTAAATCCCACTCTGTTCCTTGGCAGGCTGGCCAAGCCTGGATGGGAGTGCTGGTGGGGCTGTGGTGCACTGACTGCCCTCAGTGTGGAACTGGGGGTGATGGTGCACATGAGAACTGCTCTCAAGCAGCAGGGAAGGATTTCCTAGAGCAGAAAAGTGCAGGAATATCTGCATGTTTAACCAAGTCACAGAACTCTGCCCTGTCTTCCCCCTGGACAGCCTTCTCTCTAACACATGCACATACTCCCAGAGGCAAGCAAAGCTTCCTAAAAGGTCACAGTGCCTGTGTTATTCACATGAGAACTCGATTTTCTGAAAAATCATCTGGTTTTAAACTAATCTTTGAATTCAAAAGCATAAAACTCCTAACCTGCCATGCTCTTGTGACACAGTTTTTAACCACTTGGCAAAGCCTCTCTTCACTCTCTATTCTACATTTCTTCAGTCACAACAGCAGGACAGCTATGGACCTTGTACCTGAAACTTCAACAGTGAATCATACCCCAGGATACAGAAATTGTATTAAATGATTTTCAATTATTTGAAAATCTACTTGTACAATAAAATTACCAAATATTACCTTTAGAAAGAAGCAATTGTTGATAGTGAGGGGACAAGTGCAGAAAGAATACATCATAAGGTAAAGAGAACTAGAAGGAGGAAGTATTTCCCTTTTTATGTAATGCTGTAACTTCTTTAAACAACTGATAAGCATTGGCCTAATGCTGTTGCCTCTGCAGAATTCTTGATGATTTCTATGCTTTTGGGACATGTATATTTGAGAGTTAACTAATCAGAGTTTCTGCTTTTGGCCTCAAGTGCCAAGATGATTTCCATACAGAACAGTGGTTGAAAAATTGCATCTGCTCCAGTGATGACTGTCCCACACAAACACTGACTGGGTTGTGAAACCAGAGAAGTCATTCAGCTGGGGATATTTGAAACACCATCCTTATCTTTAATGTTGCCAAAGTAGCAGATGATTGATTGGCTGGTGGTCCTCATTCACTGAGAAGTCTTGTTTTACTGCTGAGGTGATTTATTACACCAAATCATGCTAGAATCTGGAGTCCTTCCACAGACTTCTACCCTGACAACCTCTAATTATGGTTTTTGTAGAAACTGCATTTAATAACCACTACTAAATTTAAGTGCTAGTTACTGTTCCTAGGCAGAAAGAGATATATAAGCAGGCTACATACTAAAATTACGTAATTATAATTCCAGTGTTTTCCTGACTTTGAGATTCCCATTTTACATGGAGAGGAAAAGAGGTTTTGTGCATATTTTCTTAGGTTTAAAACTCCAAGCCTTACCCCATCTGCTGTCACAGCAGGTCACACTGACATAACACATTCAAACAGAGCTGGAGCCCTCAGACACACTCAGTTAATGTTTTCTCTAGAGCAAACTGTGGAATTGGTAAAAGCAACAGCCTTAACTTCTAGATAAGTGGGGGAGAGAAATACACACCCTGACAGTGAATTGTGCAACTGTTTTCTGAAGCAGGAAACAGCAAGACCTGGGATTCAATTTTAATTGCCTTACAAGAATAGTTCCAGTAATTGCAGGTACCTTTCCATGTACTCTCTGCCTCTATTCCTCCAGCTCTAGCTTCTTCTGCTCTTCTCATCTCCCACCCATCATTTCTCAGCCTATCTTGCACTACATACTATTTATTAATATGCCATTACCCCTTTTATTTCCCCTGCTTTGACTCAGAAACAGACAGATTTTTTAAATTATTATATTTTGAATATAATAGATTGCTTAGGAAAGTCTATGTGAGTTTCTAAGCCAACAAAGCAATGGGTCAAATTCAGCCCTGAATTATCTCCCACAAATTCACTGGACTAACACTAAGGAGGAATTTGGCTCTAAGGCTTTTCTTAGAAGTTGATTACATTCACAAGTCATTTACCAAATAAAATTTTAACATCATCCAGTAACATGGGGAGTAGAACAGCACAAGCAAACATCTGAAAGTGAAGCAGATTAAACAAGCAGCTGCCAAGGGCAATAAACTAATAAAGAAATGTAGATGCCTTTGACTTAGGCCAGACAGACATTTATTGGAAGCCAAGATTAGTAAGCCTTACCACTTAGAGTTACATGATCATCTTTGGAGGCACTCTGTGTTTCTTTTAACTGGATCTCTGAGCTCACATCCACTTTTCTTCCAGACAGCTCTAAATAGGCTTTGAGAGATGCAGGTACCTTGACTGTAATTGAACCTGGTATAAAATGAAGTGCAAGCTAGTTAGTTTAACCCTGAGATCAAAGCATGAAATAGTCCATTATTTCATTAACTCCAATCAATTCACATTTGGTTGTGCTTGGTTGGGTTTTTTTTTAAAGTCTTCAGAAACAGTAACCTCTTGTTTGTGGTCACTGAAAGGATAAATGAAGGTATCTTCATTTATCATAAACAGAGTATGTCATATATAGAAAATGGCATCACAGCATTTCCTTCACAGACATGAAAATAAATAGTTTGGTAGAGGATGTTATTACAGGAATGATCAAAGGAAGCAAATATAATAGATCTCACTAAGTTCATCTTCTAGTTGTATATTCATATTCCAGAGCAAGGACAGGGCAGACTTGACAAATAACCCAGTCACTGCATGGCACATGATGAAAGGATTGCTCCTCTGGAAGGATGAGGGGCTGCTCACTCACTGTGAACACTGGCAATTGTCTTTGCTTTACTGCTCAGGGCCAGCTGTTCACTCCAACAGATGCAGTCTCAAAACTGACTTACCAGTTTAGACTGCGCATCACTAAAATGTAAACTAGTAGCACAATTGCAGCTTTGGTGGCCTGAATAATTCTACTTTGAGATTAAAACCAGAAATTCTGACTTCTGTTGCCCCTAAATTTCTATGCATCAGACCAAAGGCAGACACTGGGCCCCCAACCTGGCCACATTAGTCATCTTTGGAATAACTCAGTCACAAAGTCTGAGAGCTCTTTCCTACATATTAGATCAAAAACATGAGAAATACAGAATATGCTTCCTTTTTATGTGTTCCTTAGTTTTTGCTCAATTTCAACATTTACTTTAGAAAAACATAAAACAGTTTCTTGACATCCATCCCAGAAGCTTCAGCAGAACATGGTAAGGATAACAGCAAAGAAGCACCAGAAAGCAACCCTGGCTGAGCAATTTACACACAGCAGAATCACTTGCCTGTGACAGCTCTGATGAACAAATAACTTCCAGTATAATTTAGGCCTGCATTTTGCTGGATACACAAAAGCCTTAGAATAGGAAAGGGAAAAGGTCTTCATCTTTGGGTCCTCTTTGGAGAGTTGCTCAGTGATGACTCACAAAACCCAGCACACATGCAGCTCATTTAGCACAAGTGGGACATTTTCTACACTGCAGCTGTCGGCAGTTACTCTGAATTTACAGGGTAAACAGAGCTTCAACTTTGCCTTTACTAAACTGTGCTGCCAGAAGAGATGTTAGAAAATAGTTTGAAAATAACATTAATTAGCTTTTATTGAATATATTTCTCTTTTCTTCTAGCTCAAAGAGACATTAACTTAGCAAAATAAGTGATACTAAAGGTAACCAAGAAATTATATAAACTTCTTTGCAATAATGATGCCAAAATAGATGTACAGAAAGATGCACAAATTATTTCAATTCACTGACATCATGAGTCCCATTTTGAGTAACTGTTAGGTTTTAACAGGGCACAGGCTTTTAACAGGTTTCACAGGAGACAGAAGTGGACCAAACCACCTGAAGTGTCTGACATGACATTAAAGTCAAGTATAAAAATGCTGTGGTGTGTTTTGGATTTTGTTTGTTTGCATTTTGGGTTTGTGTTTTTTTGGTTTTTTTTTTATTTTATTTTTTCAAACTAGGATTAACAAGATGCATTCAGGGCTCTGTAATTTACAGTATCATATCTTCAGAATGGCAAAACTGAATTAATTCAGCGAAGCAGATATGAATTCAACTTTATGTGTGAGCTTTTAACTATGAAGAGGAATTTAAGTGAGTAAGCAGGAGAGAAAATTAGGAAAATGGTAATGTAAAGCTCTCCCATCTTTGCTTTTCTGCCTTCAAATTTTCCTAGTAGGACACTTCAGTGAGAAAGCAAGAAAAATAAATGTGTGTCAGTGATCACTGCACATACAGCATCATGGAGAAAACTGTGCTCAAGGCAAAGGAACACTGTAACCCTAGTCAGCTCTGCAGAATTCTGCTGGGCATATTGCCAGAAAAAAAAAAATTGAAAAACACAAACACATTTAATCCATCTTAGTATTCTTGTCCCTGACAAGAGCTTATTGTATTTTAAGTATTTATAGACATCTTCCAATAATGATGCCAAAAAAAAGGGAAATAACCAATAATCACGAACTATTTTTTACAGACAGATAAAAACCCCCAAAGCAAACCCTTATCTCCTTTTCTTTTACATCAAAATCTGCTAGAAAAAATATTTGATTTAGTTTGCTAACCTTTCTGGGATTTCAGATCCACTTTTCTTAATTGACTGACATAAACATCTATTGTCCCATGATATGTAGAAGCTTTTAGACTTCCATCTGATGAATCTAAAAAACAAAAGAAAAGAATTTGTGTATCATTCACTCTTTTAAAGTAAACATTTGCCAGGATATTTCTTTATACCTCAAACTGATTTTTATCAATTATTTTGTGTTTAAGAATAATAATTATATTTATTAATATTCATAATAATTTACAGATTATACATAATAATTTACATAATATACATATGCAAAATAATTTACAGACTGTCAGCCTTCACTTAGGATTTTTCAGAAACCTGTTATTCTATCTCCCCACTCCAGGACTGGGGCACACTCTGCTCCTCAGGCTGTGGCTCTGCAGTTGTTCTACATTACAAGGGCCCAACTACAGTGCACATCTTCCTACAGCAATGTCTTTATCTTTGTGTGAAAATCAAGCATGAAACTTGAATACTAATATCTCTTTTAGCTTCCAAAAGAGTTCATTTGCTCAGACCCTGTGCAGGGAGAACTTTACCCAGGAAAGCTACCCCATGCAGTAACCAAGCAGGTGAGCACGGCAATATCTTGTTACACAGAAAAACTGAACACAGGCTGATTTGTAAAGTCTGATTCACTACATCTGCGTTATCAACAATTGTTTAATATGTCCAGGAAAACAACATTATTTGTTCTGTACCTTGGAATAGAGAGGACTAAATTTTCTTTTAAACCTTATTAGCAGAAATTTATGATCATACAACTTTGCAAAGAAGCATTTTTACAAACAGAAAGCCTTTAAGAAGCTTTAAGTGTATACTTGAGTAGTCTTTATTTGCAATGTACTCCAATTCTAAACACATAGACTTGCGCAATATTAAGTGAAGTCCCAAAGAGTTCAACTATTTTCAAACTACTGAGTTCAAACTACTGAACAAGTTTATACCTAATAAGAATTGCAAAGAAATTATTAAAAAAAAAATCTAGAGGAGCATAAAAAAATTACCTTGGTACACGAGCAAAAGGCAGTTACTGAGAGGTATTTTTAGAGACAATGCTAGAAATTAAAGTATTGGCAAGAAATCCTGAGACACTGATGGACACTGCTTTCTGAATATGTATAAAAAAAATCCAACAGTCAAACTATTAAGAGTAGCTACAAAAAAAAAAAAACAACTTGAATGAAACTTCCCATTTTAAAAAGTAAAAGCTTGAATGAGAGAATTAACTTAATTAACAAAGATGTCTCATATTAACCTTTTATACTTGCCATACAGTTTTAGCTCTAAGTAAACTCATCTGGAGCTTTTCTGATCCCAGGTTTCAAGCACAGATGCCAAAGATCAGTGCATTGCTTACAACAGCAAAAACACAGAAAAGAATCTTGATCCCACAGCTAAAGCTGATTTCTTTGGAGGGGAAACTAATCAAAAGAACCCAGCTAATCCATACTTAGCTGAGAAACTGAGAAGGGCTTTGGCTAAAAAGAAAACATTAATAACTGGAACTGGATGTGAATGCTTCTGCCATTTCAAGACTGTACTAAAGAAAGTCTGTTCAAAATCTGAAAAAAGCAAATTAACTCTTCATTAACAATGAAGAGTTTTGCTTGTCTAAGTGAAAATGAAATATTGATTTTAAATGGTCATTTTTTAAAAGGTTGTTCATAATAGTTGAAAAGGTAAAGTCATTAGAAGTGGAAAATTTGACATGCATCAACCTTTTTAATGCCCTTTTTTAGCAGTGATCACTAGAAGTTTTCATGCAAAGGTTGTTTTTGCAGAGATTCCCCATCAAATTTAGTAACAGCCAATTACCAACTCCACATAACCTTGACAGAGATTTTGCTGGCAACAGATACAGGAAACATCCAGCCTTTGACTCTTCTGCTTTAAACAGAACCTAGAATAAGTGCCTTTATCTATTCTAGGAGGGAAGAGTCTCCAGTGACAGAAGAGCAGCTCTCTCCAGGGAGAACAGCTACAAACAGGCCACATTCCACCAGCTGATGGTGCTCCAACAACACTGATCCCCTGAAGCCTTTCTCTTCCCACTTCTCAAATGCAAAAGCAGCTCCTGGGGGATTCTTCCCAGTGGGAAGATAACTTGTGTGAATCTGCAAGACTGAACAAAGTGTTTTTCCTAGATCTTCAATTAATAAATATTAAAATAAAAAGAATTCTTGTTTTGTTAGAGATTGGATGGTGTTGGCAGAAGGCATCAACACGAATAAAGGATGCAGGAGGAGGGCAGGAGGGACAGACTCACCAAGGCACAGATTTACCAGAAAAGTCAAAAACAACCTGGAGAGAAATGGAACACTTTTCCATTGAGGAACACTGTTTTGGGAGGATGACTTGCCAGATTTTGACTCCCAGAGCACCTCACTAATACAAAGTTTCCTATGGCTGAAGAAACTTCAGCAGAGTTTCAAAACCACCAAAAGCTTGGCAGCACTACCCAAACACTAAACCTGATGCTACAGTACTGCACAGCAAACAACTGTTAAGCTTTGACCTATGCAAGTATCCATGAAATATATTTCATGGAAACAACTGAATATGATTTATGTAACAAATGTTACAGATATGATATTAAATACAAGTGTGTAGATACAATTAAGAATACCAAGAAACATAAATAGTTCATCACTTCTGCAAAGTCCATAAAGATCCTGTTTCAAGTTTGTGTCTCTAACTCTTAACAAATAAAGGGGAATAAAAGGAAAATTATTAAAAAAAAAAAAGATAAGGCACAACAGAGTGCACAAATAAATAAAGATTTCAAAAATGAAAAATTACCCTATACTAAGAAGCATAGGCTGATAGCATAAAATACAAATAGCAATGGAGACAATACATATTTTATGGTTATGACAGATCAAACCTAAGGCAATTTATTTTCCAATATAAACCCAGTGCTAGCTGATATGAATGTGAATAACTGAAGGTAAAAATAAGGAAAAAATGTATAGTTGAATTTGAGTTTGCTAAGGACCAACAGGGAAAGTTTTCTCCAGGTTATTCAAGGGGGAGAACAAGGACAAAGCCTTTTACTGGAAATAGAACAGATGGTCAGCCTTGTGCAGCTTTAGCTATTTAAGAATTTACTGGTACTAGAGAAGAAAGATTAAATAAAAGGGCACAGTGAAGCAAGATGTCCTTGGAAGGACAAAAGTCTGTTAAGTTTTATGGAAATAAATAGAGCTTGAAGAACAAAACCTAAGTCACATAACTTGAGAAAGACTGCACAAAAAGAACAGTGAAAGGCCTACAAAGGTAACATTTAGCATCACTTTATCAGCCTAGCACTAAAGAAAGGATTAAACACAAGTGATCTTTACTTCAATCTAAGCAAAAACATTCTTGTCCTAATAACACCTAAAGACTGACCTTGTTTATGGTAAAATCAGTGACAAAAATCAATCTCTATAGGAACAAAAAGTATCTATCATTATTTGATTATAGACTGGAGGAAGCATGAAATTCCAAGGTATCTGAAGAGTGATGAAGGTTGAATTCCTGCTCAGCTATCTATCTAGTATTTCTTATTGATAGAAAACTGGCAAAAATTCTTGGTTTAGTTCATTGTTCTAAAACTGTCATATGAAAAGTATTATAAGAAACTGAAATGTATCCACTAAATAGACTTCATTATTATTATTAAGAATTCACTAAATTGCACACAAAACTGAAAAATCTTTAGCAGTCCTGACCATACTCACCATGGGACCTGGCAGAACAAATGATGCAACACACAAAGCAAAGAAATCTCTCAAGGAAACAATTCCTTTCCTAACTAAACTATCCAGGCTATCCTTTCACCTATTCATGATCTATTTTCTATCCCAATATTCAATTATATCCATTGGGTGTAAAGGCCACAGTCTGTTTTAGATAAATTACTCTGCTCCAAAAAAGCCCAAACAACCAATCCACCTGGCTTGCCTGCTTTGGAGAAAAGGAATTTGGGGGTGAGCTCACTGCTCTCTGCACCTTCCTGGGGAGGGGAAGGGCACAAGGAGGTGCTGAGCTTTTCTCCCTGGTGCCCAGTGAAACCTTGCATGGGAATGGTTCTTTTTTAGGAAGGACTGTTTTACAGAGAGAGTGGTCAAACACTGGAGCAGGGCTCCCAGAGAGGCTGGTGCCCCAAGCCTGTCAGAGTTCAAGAGCCCCCAAACAAGACACTCCAACTCTTGTTGGACTGGATGGTCACTGTGGGACCCTTCCAACTGAAATAAGGCACAAGGCCTTCAGCAAACTGGTTGAGTAGGAGGTGTTCTCACATTTTAAGAGTTGAAAGTCTGAATCTTCAAAGTGTTTTACCTTTAGAAAAACCCATAAAAATACCAGGGATGTTCAGCGCTCTTTAGGAAAAGATGAAGTCTATCTAGTGCTGTCAGAATTGAAGTCTGAAAAATAAAGTTTCTTCAACAGTAAGAGTGTCCCAGTGCTTAAAAGCTGAACCTGGTTAGTTAAGGAAAATAATCATCATCTGTTGATGGAAAAAGCTATCTCCTATATTAAGAAACCTTTATTTAAACACTCTTCATACCCTATGAGTTTATTTAAGAGAAGGAAAAACAGCCCAGCAAGTTGAATTTAATTCTGTGGTTTAATGACTAACTCATAAGAATGTGTCTTGCATTCATTTTCCAGGAATGCTAATACAGAGCTCTTAGAAACACAAGAAGAGTTGTTAACAGTCCCTGAACACATCCTAGAGATGGTCCCTGAGACATGCTTAGTGAGTGACTACAGTTAAAATCTTCAAGATCAGGGCCTGAGGAAGTCTTTCTACATTCAAAAGATACAAAAGGTTATACAAAGCCCAGTGTTACTTCAATTTCCTGCCATATCAATAATTAGAATTTGAGTTTCTCACTTTGGTGTTTGTGTGCTATAAAAAGCACTGATATAAGGTACACCATAACTAATAGCTCTGAGTTATCCTGTCATATAAATTCCCAGGTTCCCAATAAAAGGTTTATGAGCTGTTTTCATTTCTGAAAGGAAAGCTATTGGCATAAGAGTTTCAAACACTGAAATTATCACAAGCCTTCCCATCACCTCCCCAAATAAGTAATACATCAATGATTAGCTTCCTGATATAAAAATTAAACATAGCTAATCACTGATAGCAATAAATATAAGAGAGAACTACAGTAAGGGCACAACTGCATTTGATGTAGACTTAAGCATTTTCTTGTGTCTTTTTATCCCATTTATATCTAAAAGATGACAGCTAGACTCAGCCTCACTTGTGCAAAGTCCAGGGAGACCATGTCCCTTGCCCAACCACAAAAGGCTGACTTTGGAAAGGGTCTTATTCAGCCACACTTATCAGGGCTACTCCTGAAAATGAGGCAAAAACATCTGTGTGAAATCACCTCCTCTTCACTTCCCCTGTGAATATTTAGCCTTTAGAAAGGAGAAGGGAAGAGCAAAAGACACAGAGAGAAGGCAGAACCTACCTACTGTGATACTCCCTCTTTTCGTCTGAAGGTTGGTATTACCTATAATGAAAAGGGGAAACATGTTAAAAACATATTATCAAAACATATTATTTATTCATTTTTTATCTTGTTGCTTTACAAACAGAAGTCTCAACACATGCGGGTAACAATTAATTGATTTCAAACAAGAAAAACATTGAGTGAATTCAAAGATACCACCTGGATGTGAGGGAGAAAAAAATGTAGAGAGGTACGTGCAAGGCTAATGCACAATATTGCCTCAGTTTACTTTGGGCAATTTTTTGTTAATTGCTGTGATGCCTGCAACAGCATTAGAGATTATTTAAGTTCAATTGCATGAATGACATAAACAGTTCCTATTTTCCTATTTTATATACCTATACCCCATGTCTGCTGGAGGGAATCTTGTGTGTTATCTGCAAAGGCAACTTCCTGGACCCAATGAACATTTCCTACTCCCTCCAAACTTATTCTTTTGTAAGAGTACACAAACTCTTGTTTTCTAAGAGTTTTGTGCATGACAACCCCTTATGAACATTTCCATTGACTTCAGTTGTAGTATGTTGGACAAAGTGGAGAACATCAAACAAAGTGTGTAAGGCACAAAATGTAGAATGGTCTTCTACTGAACTTGCATCACTTTAAACAGGCACAAGTGTTCCAGCCTTGAAATTTCAAAATACTTGTTCTGCCCTTTCACCTACAACATCAAGAAAATCTGGAAGGACAACAGATGTACCTCCTAACAGAAGAGACATCTACCCTACTAACAGTCTAACTAAATTGTACAAACTTCTCCATTTCCATGCATAAATGTGTCACAGAAAATGCTCTAAATTAAAAACTAAACCACACCATGTCATCCCTGCCATTCTCTCATCCTCCCAAGAGAAAGGCAGAATGAAGACTGATCACAGAAATTGAGTGCAGTTTAGCAACACACAGTAGCCATAATTTTCAGATTTTCAGAAGAGGTTTTAAAAATTGCAGATGGATTAAGCTCTACCCTATCTTGTGTAATTACACAGTAGTAAACAGCCATTAGGGCAGAGCGCATTCCACTGTATATGACCTGTATTTTTCTTAGTGGTTCATGGGCTGAAAGCTAGAAAAGCAGCCTATCATCAACAGTCTTAAATTCATCTTTTCAAGCACATACTGTACAAAATACTTTGGAGTTCTAAAAATCAGAGCAGAAACAAAAGCAGTTTTCAATGACCTTGAAAGATGTTTGGCTTCACTCTTTGCTGTTTTTTAAAATCCATGCTATAATTATCCCATCCTTTCCCTCATTTTATCATGGCTGGCACTTAGTTTGGTACAACCTACAAAAAGACCCAGGGTTTTGCCAGCCAGCAGCTCCCATGGAGCATCTGAAGGTAGATCAAATTCTGTCAGCATACAGCCCCTGGGGCTGTTCTGCATTTTTATGGGAGTTTTCTTACCTGTTTTCATTAGATCCTTGAAAAATATTCAACATGTAGAAATCAAATTCCATTTAGGTACATACTCATATGGCAGAATCACCAATGCTGCACAATGTCAACACATTCTGTGAGGCTGCACTTAGAATATTGTGTCCAGTTCTGTGCTTTCAAGTCAAGAATGACACTGATGTCCTTTACTAAGGCCAGAGAAGGCTATTGAGAAGATCAGGGACCCAAACCAAGCTAGAGATGCCCTGAGAACACGTTTGTTTTGGTTTAAAAGAAGAAGGCTGAGGAGTCCTCTTGTGGCCTTCAACTACCTAATGGGAGGTACAGAGAAAAAAAGACATTCTTCTCATGGTGGTGCAACAAGGAGGAGGAAGAAGCAGCAATAATGGATACAAGTAGTAATGGAAATTATGATTAAAAAAGGTTTTTTTCCTGCCAGAAAAATAATTCAGGGGTGGACCAAGATGTCCAGAAAGGTCATACAAACTATGGACTTGAAAATACTCAAAGCTCAACTAGTCAAGGCCTTGAGCAAGCTTGGTCTAACTGAGCCTACTTTAGACATTAGTTGGTAAGGAATCTGATATTGAATCCAAATTTAAACTAGATTTATTAAATAAATTAATAGTTAATGCAACTCAACCCAAGACTTTGTCACTGCTGCAAAGGGGGGTTTCCTGTTCCTCCCATGTGCCCCTTGGTATAGAAGGCTCACTGTAATGTTATTGGCTCTCAGGTAAAGAAGAAATTCCTCAGGAGCAAATTTCCTTTTTTTTTCTTTTCAAATTTCTTTTTCAGGTGTCAACTCAAAAGCTTAATAGCACCTGACACCTCTAATGCCTGTTACAGAAGCTGATGAAAATTACCCAAAACAAACTCCTTTAAAGCAATGCATTGCCCATTTGCCAGAGGAGCATGACAAACACAAATGAGCAGCTGTGAAAGTTTGAGCTCTCCCGGTGTCCTGATGTTACAGCCTGAGTTTCAACCACAAAATGTGTCTCAGACAGGTTTGCAAAGTCTGTGCTGCCCTAACTTAATTTTCCCAGTGCAAAAGCAATGAAATCCAGCTTAGTTTGTGCAGGATGTGCTGATTTGATGCCACCTATGGTGTCAGCTGCAGGGAAATGGTGACTTCAACTGCCCAAGAAACAAACATCTGTCCAGGTGTTTACAGACAAAACTATTGCAATTGAGCTACCCCATGAGCAAAAATCAGAAGTGAAAGCCACCATTCTTTAATAGCAGAAATTTATATTAGGAGTTATCTTGTCTGCTAATACATGTTGGTGCACTTTAAAAGCCTTGGCTATTAAAATATGATGGGGGAACATGATATTGTACAGAAAATATTTTTCTGTTCAAAAAACAGGGTAAAATTACCAAGCAAATGTTAATGTGCATTTTTTTTTTAAAAAAAGCTAAAATAACATTAGGTGTTCCAGGCCCATTTAGTAGAGAGGTCATAAAAATAAACCTGAAGTAACATAAGAAATGTCTGCATAATTTGGACACAATTCTATTTGTTTTCACATTGTTTTTCAGCTTAATGGCAACAGGCATTACTGAAGAAAGTAAGTTCTTGACTACAGCAGTTATGATTTCATTTTTGTAACAAGAAAATAAAAATTAACTCTTGGATGTGCACAAAGATTGAACCTGCTCACAAATTGATCACTCCACAATATCATTATACTGTATAAAGTCACTAAAAGCCAAACTAGCACAGCTTATCAGACAGAACTTCCAGAAATAATACAAGCCTACATGTTAGAAAACTACAATAACAGGAGAAAAAGCAGTTTATTTCTGTCAGTGCATGTTAAAATTAACTTTAGCTAACAGGTTTAGAAACCATTCTCACATTTAATATAAAGGGACAGAGGAGTAGCTCCTTCAAGGAAGAAAGAAGTAATTTTTCAAGCTAGATGACAACATAATTTCTTAGCAATTGTAGCAAATTCTTTTTAAGGGATATAGCTGAAAATCTGGAACTCTGACAGAGCTGAATAATTTTCTTTGTGCATCTTCCAGTTTGTTTTACTCAATGTTAAATCACCACAAATGCTTTATAGCACAGTCTGAATTCAGTGGGAGTTTTGTTAAATCAGAAAGCCACACCAGATTTGAACCTCAGCTGCTGCTTCAATAAAATACTCTGTAGTTTATTAGTTTTAGATCTTGGGGAAGGACACCAAAGGGTGGATAGTTTAGAGACTGCTAAGAAGTTCTAAGAACTTCTTCTAAAAACAGAAACTGTCACCACTCTTAACATAAGATGCCAGTAAACACATAGGCTATTTCTAATAAAAACTTCTCATTATGACTCCCTCCAACAACAGTTCTTAGTAGATGATCTGTCTAAGAGTTGCTTTTCCTATGAAGAAAATAAAAGGGGGGAGAGGGGAAGAGAAGTCTGCTGACAATGTTTAGTATAATTTTCATTGCTGAATTTTAGAATATTTTGATGTTCTTAATATGTGTGACATTTCTTTCACATAATATATGCTTTTTGCTATTAACAAGTGTGCTTATGAAACTGTTTTCAAAAATACAGTCTGCTAGGTGGCAAAAAATCAATTGCCTCTAAGAGAAATAGAACTGTTTTGCTTGCATGCTGTGCACAGCTGATTTAGTGGTAGTCTATGCATTGGTCCATTTGTCACTGTGAACATTACTGAACACCTTCAAGGCAGCTTCATTTGTGACAGACTTCCTTCTTACCATGAACACTTCCCAGCATAATATCACCAGATTCTGAGGAGAGAGATGCTGATTCTGCATAGAGATATTTAGTTTTCAGCAGCCCATCTTCAGTGGATATATTGATGGTTGTCCCCTGCAGCTTCTCTATATTTACACTCTAGGAGAAATAAACACAATCAACAATTTGTCATCACAGTTTGAAAAAGCAGTGGGATGTAACACTGTTAAGACACAAAACAAATGGAAAGCAGTTGTTGGTGCAGGAAAAATGGAATCAGGTTCTTAGCTAAAAGCTACACAAGATAAAACAAAAAACCTTTCCATCCAAGAGCTCAGACTTAAGAATTAATGATTCCTCACAACATTCCTATGAGTTATTACATCCACAGTTCAGGTGAAGAACCCAAGTAGTCACAAACAGAAGAAAGAAGTTTTTAATTTAAGAAGAATTTAATTTTCAGAATTAAACACTTCATTCGGAAAAGCAAAATGAATTATTAACTTTAATTATGAAGACTGAATCTTAGTACAGCATTATGACACTTGGAGCACTGATGATCAATTTTCTGCCACCACAAATTGAAACATTCTCTGTCTTGTTACACACAGCTATTTATGAAGATTTTTAACTGGTTTACTTTGTAGATATATCTTTGGTGAAGGTTTGCAAAGAAGCTCCACTCAGCTGCCCTTTTTTTAAGCATAATTTTCCTATTACCTTGGTTACTCAGGCTTCTATTCTTGGACATAAGCCTCAAGACATACAAAGCCTTGAAAAACCAGGGATAAAATCTTCATTTCTACTTCTTTGCAATAGAAACAGAGAGAAAGGATAGAATGTGGAAAGTTGCACATTTGGGAAATAAAAGGTGACAGATGAGATTATCTATGCAAAAGTGATGAGTCACATGATAAAACATCAATGTGTTTGAACAATTCACATGCTTGTGCAGCAACCATATGAAACTGAATTCTATTCTCAGTTAAATTTATGATGGAAGAATGCAATAGCTCATACCTGAACCCCACTCAATTAGTTTCTATTTTGCTTATACAGACTTTCAGTGAATTGCACAAAATCCTCATTCACTATGTGAAACAATACATGGCTTTCTAGATCAAACTGTGCCTCACTCAAATTATTTTTACATCCTCATTGTCATTTTAGCATTGCCACCTTGTGCAAATAAAGTTAATATAAAAAAATGAGTCTGTTAATCCTTCCAGCATAATACTATATAAAGAATAAGCTATGAATGAAGGAAGAGATATTCTGACAAATAACTACTGGTGTTACACAAACTCAGTGCTGCACTGTATCCCAAAAACTGAGCTGAAGAGGCTGGTTTAGTATGGGCTATTTGACAGCCAAATTACCCTGTGGCCTTAGCCATCTATTCACACTGAACTACTAAATTATAAGATTACAGAATGGAACTACTGGGCTTGGGACTTTTCCCATGCTACAATACTGATTAGATCTCCAATAATTTAGCAAAATACATTAAACTTTAAGAAAATCAAAATGCTACGCATAGCCTATGGCAGAATTAGAGATATGTGCCAGTCAATGCCTAGAATCACTGCTGCTTAGAACTGTGCTACAGACAGAAACAAAATTCAGTAACACAAAGTAGAACTTGTCACTACTGAACAGAAGCTTTTCATCTAATACTGCTTGCAACAAAATAATAAACTTCATCTAATACTGCTTGCAACAAAACCATAATAGCCAGAGATCTTAAACACTAATTTACATTGCATCTGTCCGAGGGATGCTTCCCATTCACCAGCCTTGCATGATGAAGTGCAAACCTGCTGTGACACATGGTCACAGCAGCAAGGAAAGGGAAAGGCACTCTCATTTTAGGCTCTATGATCCCACCTGATCTAAGACTTAAATGACTTGCAATGAACATTTCCCATTTGAAGGCCATCACTGATATCAGCACAATGAAAATAGTGCAAAGCACACTTGAAAGGGAAGGAAGAAAATAAAAATATCTGCATAGTTTGGATACAAACTGGCTGCCTTGTGGCATTCCTAACCAGGCAAAGGGAAATTCAAATAGCTACCTCTCTTCCTATAGAATACAAGTTTTAATTATATTTAGATATATTTATTTGTTTACAATAAAGCACTTAATTTTTAAATAATCTCACATACCAACTCTTTTATCAGCCTCAACTGCCTTTCTTAAAATTGCACAATTTTAAGAAAGTAATAAAAAGAGTTGGCTCAGCTCCAGATCAAAAGAAGTTACTGTAAACAATAAAACAAAAACTACCAATACAAAGAATGTTTGTTTCAGAATAACCCAAATCAGGGTAAGGGCAGGGAGGAAGGGGAAGTCAGACTGCTCAAATATTAGAATAAAAAAGTAGTTCAGATGGGGAAAGCATGGAAAAATAGGATTGCTTTTCAATGAAAATAAATATGCTTTCAATCCCAAATTCTTTAACTCTTGTGGAGTTTTGGCAGAACATAGATGTCTGGCTTGACAAAGCAAGTGTTATAGAAAAGTCTCCATGGCACAGATTAGCTAATAACGCCCCAGGCAAACCAATTTCTTTATTTTTGTCCATTGAACCACCAGATTTTTGGGAAAAAATTCCTTCCCTTGGGCATGGAGCCTTGGGGGTTGCAGTTCCTGAAACTGCCCACATGCTCTAGTCCCGTTGGTCCCATCTGCACAAGTCGGACTGAGAAGGTTTTACATCTGAACACATTTTCAAGATAAAAACTGACATCTTGCTATGTTTAAATAAGACGTATACAGCTCCTTCTCCACCTATTCCTGCTCTTGGCCTTCCTTTTCTGCTATCATTGCTCAAATGCTTTACTAGTGTCCTCTCCCACTTCTCCCCTTAAAAAATATTAATTTTCCAAGTGCTTAGTGCCTTTTACCACATCCTCTCCCTCCCCACCTCCAGGAGGGGGCTGGAAATGCTGACAGAGCCATAATTACATAATGATGACTGCAACTGATGGAAGAAACATCTCACACAAACACACAGAGGAGACATAAGGCTGACTGATTAGTAACAGAAGTGGCCAGCTGAGAAATGAAATCTGTCCTTCCTAACCACACTACAAAATTTGTTAGAGAGAAGTTCAATAACATAAGCCAAAATATTGTTCTGTAGCTGTGAATTCGTGCTAAAATGACTCACTTCACTCACGTTACTACAGCTTTACAACTCTAAGATTGACTTCTTTTAGTATTACATACTACATACAAATATTTATGATCACAAAGAAGCACTTCAATTTAATCTGTATGACATTTGTTTTATTGTTTCACAAGGGTGATGTTTCTGAAAAGAGCTAATTTTTTAAAAAGCATTTAAAGGCTCAAAGTAAAACAATTCTCTGAACTATACTTTCCCATACAGATACAATTATTACATTTATTACACAAAAGGCAGTCTAACACCCACTCCCAAAGAAGCACAGATAAATTAATGCTGACAGTTTTTGGAAAATCCAATGGCAAGTTGCTCAGTTTACAGCAGGACATCAAGAACAGCTCACAGCTGGCTCTAGGTAAATGAACTGACCTGGGAACCCACAAGGTGCACAGCAATGCCAAACAGCACTTCACAGAGGTGACTTTGGATGCCTGGAACTCACCAGTTTGGGCTCAAATCTACCCTGGCAAGGGAGGGTTACCCCATTCTCTGACTCTTTCCATTCCTGCTGGTTAAAGGTGCCCATGGATTCTGTCAGAGCACAGCCACAGCCACTCCCAGCCTTGGCTTGGCTCCACATGGGCACACAGCAACACTTCAGATCCAGGGAATCCTAATGCAGCCCATTTAGGTATTTTAATGGACATTACAATGGCTAAAAACAAGACTGGGTGTGAGAACTGCAGGGAGTTTAGCTCTACATTACTTTAAATAAAGGAGACTTGCCCACTCATGTCAAGAAACAAAACTAGTGTACAAGTAGTTTGTGGTTAGTCTAATACTGCCATCTACTGAAAAAAACCAAACTTGTTCTCTACAAAATTGCTCTGTTTGTGATTCTTCCCACTGCATCTCATAGCAAGATTACCTGTGATTACATTTCCTCAGCTGCAAAGAATTCAAAAAGAATTAAAAAAGAATTCAAAACCTGCTATTCTTCCTTTCTTACATAACACTAGAAGTGTACAGCATTTACAAATATCAAGGCACTACCCACTAAAACTCCTGAGCCTTCTGCAGATTCCAAATGCCTACATATTAGCCAAGGAGAAAGTTTAACAATGTCCTGAGGGGTCTATATAATTAAAGCTGATGGGTTGTATCAGTAGAATGACCTCTGTACTGATGGAATGATCACACACTTATTCTGCTTTCTGTGGAGCCTGTTTATCAATCCAAATCAAGCACAGGATAATATCATTTAACAGACAAATATAAGAAACAGTGAAGTTACAATGAGAGTTATTTACATATTCTTTAGCACATTTTTTTAATTTAGTCCTTTTACAACAAATTAGGAGAATAAGCCATTGAAGAGCAAGTTTTACTTCCTACTTACCCCCTTTTCTGTTGCACAAATATCTGTGTTGCCATAAAGTGTTCCAAGACCAATTACTTTGCCACCATTTGTCCTTATATCAATTTTATGGCTCTGAAAAAAGTTAAAAAATCATACAGTTAGGATAACTGGTTCTCTAGTCATGGTTATCTTGTTTTTCAAGTTGTACCACATTAACCACTGGAAGCCTCAGTCCTGCAAGAAGAACCAGATTTTACAGTGTTTTACTGCACATAAATTCTAATTAAAATAGTTTTGCATAAGGTAAATCTCCAGTTATTAACAAATTAGCCAGATTAGAAGCAAACACTGCTCTATAGCCCTTATAGCTTCCAGCTGTTGCTGCATACACGAGAAAAAAAAAGTACAGAAATACACATAAAACAATCTCAAAAACAAAACCAAAACCACCAGCTCTTGTGAATAAAATATAGCCATCTGTAAAAGAGAAAAAATCTTAAAAAATTAGATTTAAATAGATAATTCTCTCCTTCTACAGTAACATGATGAATTAAATGTTTCAATCTGCCACAACACTCCTTTGAGGCAGGTACACCATACTTGTTATCAGAATAATGGTTAAACAGCAAGTTCTCCAAATATGTAACTTGAGGAGAATATGGGAACTTGCAAGATTGGAAAAACCAGTGTATAGCAAGGGCTCACCAGGGTGGCCCCTGATAGATCAGTAAAATAAAACCACAACATAGACACTAATTTTCCCCATCCCAAATTAGTAGAATATCTTCCTAAAAAAAAAAAAAACCAATCAGGCTTTCAGAGCTAAGTATTTCTAGATACACCTAACAGACAGAAGGATTTGCTGAGAGAAGAAACCAGTTACAGTGGTGAAGCAGCTTTTTCACTAAGAGGAAATATTCCACCAGCTGAAAGGAAAAAAAGCAATAATTTTTCATAGCAAAAATTCTCTAAGCAAGGGAGAAAGGTTTGAATAAGGAAGCGGCAAAAGGCTGTCAAGACCTTAACAGATGTCAGAGGAAAACCAGAAACATTTGTTCAGAAGAAGAGAAGGACACAGGTGCAGGATGAATCAGGCTCAGACAAGGTGTGTGCTGAGGAAGCACAGCAGGTCTTCTGCCAGTGTGAGAGATGCCTGGAAATTCTTGTTATCACCAGCACAGTGAAGGGGTCAGGAGTAATTGAGGAATATGGAAGCAAAATTAAAGGGTCTCCCTGGAGGCACTGTCATCATAAGAAGCATCACAAAAAAAATTTAAAAGAAGTACTGCTTTCTCAAAAAAGAATTTGTGAATAATTCATACTCTGGAGAAGACCAAAATGCCATAACTGCATTTTGGAATTACTGTTGCCATTAGTTGACCTAGAGGCTTAGAAGGGATAGGGTGAACTGGACTTCAGTCAATTAAAAAATAATCACCATCCAAACCAAACAAAAGAAAAAAATTCAATAAAACCACCCTCAACAAATCTCACTGGCTGGGTAAAGTCTACCACAGCAGAACTGCCAGACAAAATCCATTAATAAGCCTCACAGAGACTCCTCCTTTCTGTTCAATTACTGGTATGCATGGTTAAGCAAAGTAGAGGCCAAATCCTTAAGTCTTTTGTAAAGACACTATAGATTGCATATAAAAAAGCTTTGTATATTGTATATCAAAAAGTTTTTTTAAATTACAATTTGTACTAACAACTTCTTGCAAGTTAAGAGAATGAGCAGTTGTGAAGGTGTTTGCTGGTGCTCTTGAATAATCCCTACATGACCAGATTTTTTCATTCAAAGTCATTTATCAACAATCTTTTCTCTCTCCTGCTTTGTTAGTTAATGGGGTTTGTTAATAACAGCAAACCAACATTAAAAGAGCTTTACTCCATCCAGGGGAGGGCACTATCACTTCAGTTTGCTCAGTAAAGCAAATTCCCACAAAGGGAATCAGCTCTTATGCTTCACTACAGCATCTAGGCCATAACACTTTTAGTAGTTTTGGAAAAACCCTGAAGGCTAAAACTTACTTTCCCCCAAATAATTCTGCTTCTCTGATACAGAGTACAATTCCTGAAGCTTTATTAGAAAAAAAATTGTTCAGTCACCTTACTAGAACTATAGGACTTAAAAACAAGATTAGACTAAAATCCAGCTCTTTTTAAAATTCAAAATATTTCACATCTTGGATTGCATTTGAGACACACTTCCCAGAAGTTGGTGGTCTTTCCTCAAAACCATCTTTTTCCATGACACCACAAAAAATTCTTGATGTGATGGCATGCCATGATTACTGCCCAAAACCACCTTGTTTTCTCATGCTATGCAGTTTCTCATTGTTGTCATTACTACATAACAGAATAATTTTTAATGAAAATTTTAGGTGGGCATCACATAGTGCTATTAACTCTGTTAGATTTTAGGTATCTTTAGAAGAGTAAAATTACAATTACACAGAATCTGGAAGCTTTAAGTTGTCTATAGTTCCCCAGTTGTAGAGCACACCTAGCTCTGTTGTATATTACACCCCTCCCTAAGCTCAGTTTTCCCTACATCTGTTATAAAATCATCTCTTACCACAATACAGAAAAATGTTTAAAAATTTCTCATCTCTCAAAACAATTGACCCTTCTTTTGAATTTATACCAATTCCTGCAGGTTCAATCCCAAACAATCAAGTGAATTTGATTCCAAATAGCACCTAAGTCAGATAAACTGTGATTAATTTTACAACAGCTTAAGTCAGCAAACTTGAAGCCTTAAGACTGAAAAAACAACCTCATGCCTATGACACATACAGTATATATCAGATATATTTCAGTCAGGTATTTTGGACATGTAATGTGTAACTTCTGATTGAAAATTAACTTAAAGGGACTGTCAATAGCTCTGATATACCAATTATTAAAAACCAAAAAAAATACACATTAAAAAAAATCAGCAGCAACTTGCAAAGTCTTGATTGGGCAGGCACAACTATTAACCTACTAGACAGAAAACCCCAGTCTATTTCTTTTTTCTTTTGAGGAGTAGGGAAGGCAGTGATCAGGCTTCACTGCTGTCACTGCTCCTGCTGCCTTTGGCTATCACAGATACATGGACTTCTGACTCCTCCTTATTCCCTGGTTTTGACTTTGTGCTGCAATTGTATGCAATAATTCAAGGTGAGGTGCTGTACACTGAGCAACATGAGTGCTGCAATGAGAATACCAGAGTACTTCTCATCTCCAGAACTGGTATTTAAGCTTTAACACTATATCCCACCACACAATCCCTTCTTGAGCAGTGAGGGAGGTTCTTTGTACCTTTATTGACTGCAAGACACTCGTCCCCTTCTCTGTTTCTATTTTGCAGTTATCACATTCTATTTTCTGAATCTTCACACAGCCAGTCCCTGATGTTTTGATATCCAAATCTAGAATTAAAAAAGTGTTTTATTAGCAACAGAAAGAAAAAAGTCAGATATCTTTAACATAGTATTTGATCATGTTACACAGTATAAGAGCCTGAATGAGGGATGTGGGGCTCCAGGCAGCTCTCCAAAATGCAGTTTATTCCATCCAAGAGTTATAGCAGTCCAGGGCCATGGGTGACAGAGTCTGTGCCCACAGCTGTCAGCTCCAGCTGCAGGCAGGCCTGGAGACCCTTAGTTTAGGTTACATTGCATTTTACACTTTACTTTGCTGAGCATCTTAACAGAGTAGAACCAATCTATACCTTAACTTCTACCTATAGCTTATCATAACTACTATAATCACCATATCCATGTTACTATTCTCCGATCACTAAAAGTCACTACATTTTAAGCTAGAAGTTGTTTTTCGGTTTTCTTGCAGTGGAAAATTCTGAGACCTTTTTCTACTTGCAACTTTGCTGACTTGTTTGCCTGTGCTATCTTTCTGCTTGGTAAAAACATCTTGTTTGGGGTAGGTTTATCCTTTGCTCTGAGCCATAAAAACCCCTTCTAACTAAAACACCCTTTGCCTCTTTGGTTATCTAGTAAGACTGGCTCAGCAATTCTTTTCTTCTATATCAAAACTTGCTTTCATTTCTATTCCTTCATCAGACTCAACATTTAAAAAACTTTCTGCTAAGCATACATACCTGTGAGACTTTCTTGTCAAACTTTCATCCTTCCCAACAACACAGTAACCAAACATAGTAAGGAAAAAGAGCAGCTTCTTTGTTACTAAAAACCTGCTTGCTGTGTATGGCCACACTTTGAACAGTGAGAGTAGTCACAACCGGATATGAACACTGAAAGTTTAGCAAGCCAGAGTCTGAGATATCCAGCTCCAAGAGAGAACATTAAGAAAAAGAAGAATGACTGTAACCTGTGGCAAGGAATCAGCAGGGTGTGAACCTTTAGTGAATTCTCATATTTTTTAATTTGAACTCCATCTCGTATCTACCCTAGCCACCAATTCCATTAGAAATTCCACTTAAACAATTGGGCACCCTGACAAGTGACACCCTCTTTGGGGTAGAAGGTTGGCAGATGTCTGAGGCCACATGTAGAATAATAGCTTCAACAGCACAAATACACAGGCCTTGCTCTCCACTAGCCAAAACCTGCCAGAGAAGTGTTGGTGTGCCTCATTCTCCCCAGCCTCTGCAAAGCCTGACAATCCCCTGGCATGAAGAAGCATGTTTGCCTCTAGTCTGAGTCACTTCACCTTGCTGTTGTTCATAGCCTGCCACAAAGAAAAATCACCAGGTGTTGTAGACAAGATGCAGGGGCAGGAAAAGCATTTTTCTGCTATTTGTCTCGCCCTTGGGTTTAAGGAATGGGAAGAAGTTTTGAGAATGTACAGTCTGGGGATTCTGTCTATATTAATAATAATTTCTATTAATAATTTGTATAAATGACCACTATAGTGGCTGGCAAAAGGTAAAGGCAGGAGAGGAAAGAAGTGATTTAGTTATTCTAAGGATAAAAGGTAAAAAGAAGAAAGTGTTTGCTGCAAGACACAAGAGAAGAACTAAGATCTGACAAGACCAGATAGTGAGCCCCTAAAGGAAAGGAGATTATTTGGTAAAGAAACTTTCATTTAAGCAAATGTGAAAGTCTTCCCTTCACTGCCACTGCCTGCTAAGGTTATCAGAAAGATGAAAAGAATAATCAGAATGTGCAGAACAAGCTCTGCCCCGAGGAGATTCCCAGGTCAGACCTGTGAGCCAGCAGAGCCTGAAGATCAACACTGTCACACTGCTGCCCAGGACAGAGTGTCCTCCTGTCCTGCCCCTGGGACCACAACAACAGTGAGCTTGCAGACCATGAACATGAGAGACTGAGAGCTCCTATTAACAACAAGGGGAAGTTTTGTCACCTGGCAAACTAGGAGAATCCAAGAGACAGAGCTGAAACACAACATCTTTGCAGCAAGCATGATCCTCATGGCTGCAGTAAGCCAAGGTTAAATTTGGTGCAGGATGTGGACCACATTCAGAGGTTAACAATTCCTTAAGAAAAAAGGCTATACGAGGTAAACTGGAAAGCAATGTTGGTTTTGAACAAGCTGTCTTGCCCAGACTGCTCAATTCACCCACTGGACAACTGCACAGTGCTTGGGAAGGTCCACAACCAAGACTTCTGCTATTTTGTTTCTGAGAAGAGTCCCAAAACCCAGTTTGCTTGCGCAAATCTTTGAATTAAATCAGCTTGAAACCCTCCTGCTCTTACAAAGGACAAGGAAAAGGCTTGAGAGTGCTCAGTTTAGTCATGATACAAACACAGACTTTTACAAGAATAAGCTTAATAAAAAAATCTTCTGATCCTGTAGAGTGTATTATTGCCATCATCTGAAAGGGTAGCTAGCTATGAAAGATGGGTGCTAAAAGAGGACCCAGAAATCTGAAAATTCGTAAACAAGTCATTAAGAAACACCAGGGACTTCTGGAATACACTTTGTGCCTTATCCTCTGCAGTCACACCAGTTTGGTAGCCTTGATATAACAAAAATTAGTGGACAAAGAATTGAGCGTCTCTGTCTTTTTTCTTCTGAGTTCCCAAACCAAGGATAAACAACTCCATAAAGAAGCAGACTGAAAGCCGGATAATATTGCCAATGAAATTTTAACAAGGAGGAACAAGATACAATCTGTTTCAGTGCCAAAACTCCAAAAATAGCCAGTTTGATTCCTCCCTAGCAAAGACAAGGGCTGAAGCCAACTTTAGCCACATAAACCACAAAGAATGCATGAAGATCTTTGGGGTGTAAAAGACTTGTATCAGAAATTAAGGTATTTAGGAAAACTGAAACACTGGTAACAGAATGTAGGCAGAGGTACCCCAGGGTATTTAAGCACCCCAGTTATTAAGCTGCCTTAAGCTATAATACTTGAAATAGAGTGGATAATTATTTCTTTTCAGATGACTCAGCTGCCCTAGAATTATCTCAAATTATGGTTATGCAAGCCCTCAGTACAATTTACTTTTGCATACTCATGCAGTCAATGTACAGTAACCAGAAATCAAAGGGCTGGTTTCAGGTTTAATTAACACATGCCAAAATAAATAAGCTTGATTAAACAGAAATTCCTTGACATCTGCCATCAGTGAAGGTTAGATGCATCACAGAAGATTACCAGATCATTTATGGTATTGAAATCCTATACAGCTCAAAAACAGACACAAAGACAAACAGGATCTTCTGGTCCTTGTCCTACTAAGCTGCTGAGAGGTTGCCTTTGGTTTGAAATGCACATTAAAGCTCAGCATCTTCCACACATGCTCTTCCTTCAGGCTCTAAGGAGCTTTAGATAACTTGCAGCTTCCTGGATAAGCTCCAAGACAAATTGTGAAAGCTGTTATGAAATGCCTTAACTTCCAAAGTGAAGAAAACAAGAAAACACTGAAAAGAGATTCCCATCAACCTCTCAACTTCCTGCAGCTGAGAGAGCTCAGGCAGAACCACCTGAGCAGAACAGAGCTAACATCTTCCTCACACATCCAAGGAAAGGCAGAGAAAAGCCACAGTGTTTGCACAGCAACAACAGTTCCTTTCTGGTTTGAGATGTGTTTTCACAAGGGATAAGATCTTTTGTTTATGCAATGAAATTTAATGGATAATTCTTTTCTAAATAAATAATCGGAGTTACTCAAGCACAAACTAATACTCAGAAAATAAAAAAAAAAACAAACTAGAGCTGAAAGGACACTTTAAAGTAGAAACTCAGTGCAAGCAAAAATTCTAGTTCACTGAGTAGAAACTTAAAACACCCAAACCCCATACCTTTACATTTTTGTAAATATATCTCTAGATGCACCTGGATGGCAACACAAACAATAGTAACATCCTGCTAATTATGGGGTAACAAAGAGACATTTATGGAAAGACATTACAATCCACAGATTGTCCAGGGAACCTGAATTGCACGAGCTTACCACAAACCCAAGTGGAACAGCTTAGAAACCTACAAAAAAGAAAACCTGTTTCAAGAAGAAAGCCCCTAAGACTTTCTGCAGTGCTGGCTGACATCCAGAATATAGTAAGAATCTTAAAGACAGGACAAAAACAAAATTATTGTCTTCTAGCAATCAGGATTGACTATCAAGACTTTCAGGAAGATTCCTCACACTGAAACCCTTTATGAAGGCTGAAATTCTTCACCTCTTAACACAACGAATTCTGCACCTTGAGAATAACCAGCTCTGGAGTGACTTGTAACAGTCACTCAGAGCTCCTGGAGAAACTGAAATAGTAAAGGACTACAGTGCCCAGACACACCTGAGGACTGAAGGGTAATAAGTGAGACACTGGGTTTGTTTGAGTCTCAGTAATTATGGGATGGACTCTGTGAATGTGCTACAGACAAGCCAAGGTAATCTTTGTGCTTGTCATGCAAGGGAAGGAAAAAAAATAAAAAGAGCTGTAAGATAGCAACTGAAAATTCTCAGGTAAGAGTCAAGGCTACAAGACTCTTGGAGAAGACAGTCCAGCTAGAGTTCAATGAATAAAGAGGTAACAGCTGATCTGTTTAAGAGAACCAACTTGGATTTTCAAAAGTCTTTAACAATATCCTTAGTTCCATATTGTCTTTCAGCTATAAGCTGTGCACCAAATTCAACAGCACAAGAAGCTGGAAATCAGCACAAATAGCAAGCTTGAAATCTTATATCAATGGCACCAAATTATTCAGACTAGTCAAAAACTCACTGACAAATTGCAGGAGGACCTTGGAATACCACATACTAAAATGATAAAGTAGCAGGAAATTAATTTGTGGGACTGATAAGAGTTTACTAAGAAGCTTTCACCCTGAAACTGTTTCCATGTGTAAAGGGACACTCAGCACAGAGATGCACTGAAGGGTTGAGCTGTATCAGGCTCTGAAAATCCTATGATGAAAATAGAGGATTTGGCAGCTGCTGACAGCTGCTTGACAGCTTAGCTGACAGCTAAGAGAATGCTTAGATGAAATCTAA